AAAGATCATTCAGCATAATTTTGGTTGAAATTGGTCCAGTGGTTTCAGAGGAGAAGATCTTTGAAAAAGTGTACACTGCACAACAGACGGATTGATGGATGGACGGATGGAGGAACAACAGACGACAAATGCAAAGGGATGGTAAAAGCTCACATGGCCTTGGAGGCCAGATGAGCTAAAAATGTGTCTTCAAAAGCCAACAGTTCATACCACTTTTCAATGGCCTAGATAAATCTAAGATAGAAAAATGGGCAGCACACTTCTTAATGACCCCACACCTATAGTAATCCCCATGTCTCTTCTTAATCACAGACCAGACAAAATTGAAATGCTATTGACACAGTAAGTCAATCTAATATCTTGACCAGCTGTTGTTCATTGTTGCTTGTCATTTTTCGTAAAAATTGTTATATTTTTTTACAGAGGAATCAGGTGTTAATGGTTTGTTATAATGTCCAATATTTTTGGTAATTCCTGTTACCCTTTTTATACCTCTTCTTAATATATTGCTATGACATTTGAACAAGGATTTAAAGATGAAAACAAAGCTGATTTTCAACATATTATATAATTATATATACCAAACTTTATTTATAAATATAACAAAACTCTTCAAAAATTAAGAGAAAACAAAAAATTGGTTACAACAAAATATTCAATATCAGATGAATATCAATTACCGGTATTAAAGTTCCTACTTCTTCTCTGTGAAAAATAATATAAGTAGTCAGATAGTTGAAAACTACAATCATGGAATCAAATTTGAAAATAGAAAATATTCTTCATAAGTTTCCAAAAATGTAAGTAAAAAATAGGCAACAGTATCAGGAAATCATAATACATATCTCACTGTATACAAAGAAAGACCATGTTAATACTTGAAACCCTCTACCATTGTAATGTTTATATGTATGAGACCTTGACCAATATAATCAATTCTATTTATCATATATACCATCGCTTGTCCTTTATTTCCCACAAATCACAGTCCATTAATGTATGGCACATGTAGTAAAGTACAAAATTAATGCAATTACCTACATTTGTGCAAATGTTCAGGTTTTGTCCTTTAATCACCTGAACTGTATCCAATATCTCTAGCAATCATTTGGCTTATCAATGACAGATTATGGCTAGCATTCCATACCCTTTTACTACAAAAATTATCTTAATTTCTTATTTACTAAATTTGTGCAGTACGTCTATTCTAAACCTGGGCTCTATTTCACTAACCACATGTTAAGATTAACCAATATGTAAATCTATTTACAGCTCTTCTATAAAAGCATGCAAAGCAAACCTTTGATCAACTTGCTTGCTATGTTTGCTTGGATGTTTGTAAACAAAAGGTAGGTAGTCTGTTTCAGTCTCTTTACTATATAATTGAATTTGATTGGACAATAAACATTAACTTCATTGCATGTCAATTTTTATTGTCCAATCAAATCCCAGTATATATAAAACAGACTGAAACTCCGCCTACCTATTGTTTGCAAACATCCAAGCAAACATAGCAAGCAAGTTGATCAAAAGTTTGCTTTGCATGATTTTATAGAAGAGCTGTAAAAGTCCTAAATTTTATGAAATTCAACATTTATGGTCCTTTCTTCATGTACATTTTTTAAGCATAATTCTTAAGATTATTTAAATAAGATGCTGTATAACTTGATGGAACCAAAGCTCACGAATATTAAGCTTTTTGGGGGGAATTCTAACAGTTGATTCAACTGAAGTATTTGAATGAGTTATCTACCTTGAATATTCATCATTTGTAAAATTAAAATTCAATCTATGAATACTGCAAGTTTGAACATGTTTTGTTAATTCAAGCAACAATATAAACAAAGATTTATCTTAATCACAGAATTTCTTATTATTACTAGAGGCTCTTAAGAGCCTGTGTCGCTCACCTTGATCTATGTGCATATCAAACAAAGGACACTCTCCAACATTGTAGACGAGAATAGACTTCATGACAAAAATCTCTATTTTGTTGATCTTGTACTACTGATCTTTTAGTCTGTTTATTTTCTCTCTATCTTCTTTAGTTTTTGCTCAAAACACAAAAGAGGGTAAAAAAAAATCCTTAATTAAGGGCAATCACTCCTATGAAGAGTGACAGTCTACTAAATATCGGCGAAATTTGACTTTTTAATAGATCTTGCCTTGCTGATAATTTTTGTGATTTAAAGTGTTTATTTATCTATTATAATCTAAATCATATGAGGCATAACGGAAAAAAATGTTTCTCTCTAAATATCATAGTTTTCATGATAACAGGCACTAAAATGCCCCGCGGCGCGCAACTTGATACGACCGCAGAGGTTGAACCCTGAACAGTTGGGGCAAGTATGGACACAACATTCAAGCTTGATACAGCACTGAATTTGGATTGTGATTAAATATTTGACACAGCACAGGTTTCTGACAGAGAATGAATGTGGTCTAAGAACTTAAAAATTTTTAATTTACCTATTCAAACCATATCATTATTATTTGCTTTTATATATAAATCAGAAAAAACCAATTTAAAATAGAAAATTTTAAAGAAAAAAAAATCCCCCCAAATTTTTTGAACCCCCTTATGATTCATCACCCCCAAACTCAATCCAAGCCTTCCTTTTGTGGTATGATTCCTGCAGTACAATTTCAGAGAGATCCATACACTTGAACACAAGTTATTGTCTGGAAACTAGAAAAATGCTTGTTTTTTGCCCCTTTTTTTGCCCCTAATTCCTAAAATTTTGAAGCAATTACCCCCAAAATCAATCCCAGCCTTCCCTTTGTGGTATGGTACCTTGTAGTACAATTTCAGAGAGATCCATACACTTGAACACAAGTTATTGTCTGGAAACTAGAAAAATGCTTATTTTTGGCCCCTTTTTGGCCCCTTATTCCTAAACGTTTTGGGCAATTACCCCCAAACTCAATTCCAGCTTTCCCTTTGTGATATGGAACCTTGTAGTACAATTTCAGAAAGATCCATACACTTACACACAAGTTATTGTCATGAAACTAGTAAAATGCTTGTTTTTGCCCCTTTTTGGCACCTAATTCCTAATATTTTAAGGCAATTACCCCCAAAATCAATCCCAGCATTCCCTGTGTGATATGGAACCTTGTGGTACAATGTCAGAGAGATCCATACACTAACACACAAGTTATGTCTGGAAGTTACAAAAATGCTTATTTTTGGCCCCTTTTTCGCCCCTAATTCCTTAACTGTTGGTACCATAACCCCCAAAATCAATTCCAACCTTCCTTTTGTGGTATTGAACCTTATGGTAAAATTTCATAGAGATCCATTCACTTAAACTAAAGTTAGAGTGCGAAAACCAATGTGTCTTCGGACGAAGACGCCGGATGACGACGACGATGCCAATGTCATTCCAATATACGAGCAAAAATATTTTGCGGTCGGTCGTATAAAAATGAAACAAAATGGTAAAATTTGTCATTTATGGGCAATAACTCCTATAAGAATTTGTCTTACAGTTTAGACGTATATGGACAATTGGTAGAGCTCATTATGCTGAACATTTTTGCTCCATATAGATTTTCTCTATTTATAACGGTTCAAAAAATAATAGACAAAACTTGCATTTTACCCCTATGTTCTATTTTTAGCCATGCCAGCCATGTTGGTTGGTAGGCGGGGTGCTCTAAATGCTTTGGTTTAAGAGATATAAGCCAAAATCTACATTTTACCCCTATGTTCTATTTTTAGCCATGGGGCCATCTTAGTTGATGGGCCGGGTCATCGGACACATTTTTTAAACTAGATACCCCTTCATGATTGTGGCCAAGTTTGGTTAAATTTGGCTCAGTAGTTTCAGAGGAGAAGATTTTTGTAAAAGTTAACAGACAACGACAACGGATGACGACGATGATGACGATGATGGACAACGGACGCCAAGTGATGAGAAAAGCTCACTTGGCCCATTGGTCCAGGTGAGCTAAAAAGAAGATCTTACTTATATAATTTGAATTAAATCTAGATAATGGCAAGTCTACATCTTAATAACATATTTATGTATAAAGAAAAGATCTTACTTCAAGAAATTAAATTATGTCTATATTATGGCACTTTCTAATGGTACAAACTGGAACAAAAGATCAAAAGAACATTGCAATATGTATATATAAAGAAAAACTATTATATATGAATTAATACACAATCAATATAAAAAAGAAATCTTTCAGGCTGATCAAAGCATATAAACTTATTTCTTTGGCTTGACCAAAGAAAACCTATTTTTTTGCTGTATCCACAGCATATAAATGGATTCAGCTTTATGGTGAGTACTGTAAATTTAGAAATCATTGCAAGGTTTTTATTATTTCCAATAATGCAACGGGGCAAGTATTGCAATAATAAAAACTCACATTCTAATATCTGAAATGATAAATGCATGCAATAATTTCTGAATTTACTGTATTCAAACCTTAAAGTGGGCAGGCAAAATAGGATGATACATGGGGAGCTCGGAGCAAAACTTAAGAGACTTAAACTATCTAAGAGCTATTTTGCCATAAATTTTTCAAAATTTTCTTGATTTTAAAATTGAAAAAAAGAGGTGGAAAGTACCAAAAGGACATTCAAAACTCATAAGTCACAATGATAAGACAAACAAGTTCACAGAAGCCCTACATAAAAAACTAAAGACTGGTCAACATGAACCCCACCAAAAACTGGATATTAGCTAAAAATATAAGTAAATATTAAATAAGAAACTAGAAAACTGACATGTGCTGTCAATAAGGATAAAACAATCTGCTGAAGTATCAATAGTTGTATCTCAGTGGAACCACAATAAATTAAAATTGAATTTAACAGGGTATGAAATTGTCCCAAATAATATGTACATGATTGTATACACCTGTGCAAAATTTTATTGCATTCCTAAGCATTCTGCAGGATAACTGTTGCTCATAATCAAAATTAATTATTTTGAGTATTTAATGATTAAAGTCAATTACTGTGAAAGAACTTTAAATCCCATAATAGGTAAAAAATGTATCATTTATCAAAATATTTATAACTGATATGTGTAAATATATAAATAATTATAACAACGTTAGATCTATAAATGATAATGTGAATATATGATAATTACAAGAATATTATGTCAAATTAACAACATGCTGCAAAAATAATTGAGGAAATATAGATCAAACAATAACATACTAGATAGCAAACCAAATCAGAATGGTCTGTTTTAGAAAAATACATGTAAACAAATTCAATTTGCCATTATACACTATATTCAGACTTTTGATTGAAGAAGTTTGATTATTTTTGTTTTTATTTTCAAAATCTAAAATACTTTTCATAATAATTTCTTAATTTTTTTTCTTTACAAGGTTATTAAATCTCAGTCTAAACACAATAAGCTCAATTATAAGTTTTTTTTTATTTCTCAGTGTTAACACAATAAGCTCAAGTACTAGTTTATTATATCTCAGTGTTAACACAATAAGCTCAATTACAAAGTAATTATATCTCTGTGTTAACAAAATAAGCTCAATTACTAGTTTCTTATATCTCAGTGTTAACACAAGAAGCTCAATTACAATGTTATCATATATTAGTGTTAACACAAAAAGCTCAATTACAAGTTTATTATATCTCTGTGTTAACAAAATAAGCTCAATTACTAGTTTCTTATATCTCAGTGTTAACACAAGAAGCTCAATTACAATATAATTATATATCAGTGTTAACACAAAAAGCTCAATTACAAGGTAATTGTATCTCAGTGTTAACACAATAAGCTCAAGTACAAGGTAATTATATCTCAGTGTTAACACCAAAAGCTCAAGTACAAAATTATTATAATTAATGTTAACACCCCCTCCCTACTCAATTTTCAAGTATTCACAGTAAAATTCTAAAGTGGTTATATTCTAAATTTTTAACTTCGATACATTCACTGATTCAATCAAATCTAAGAATAAATTATATTTTTGAATTCATTTTTTTTCTTTTAGTTTATTTAACATCAGTTCTACACAAATTTTTGCAATTCTAAAATTTTGTATTCTATTTCATACAAAAACATCTAAAAAAAAATATGTTGCAAGTTTAGATAAATAAATTACAGAAAGCAGATATATTCATGAATATTCATAAGGAATACAATACTATTCTGCAGGTGTACAATTTTTTTTTTAAATACAGATCTATTTCAATTGCATATGCCTGAGATTATTAACATTTAGGTGATTGGCAACAAAATAGCATACAAAAAGGAGATAACTTGGACTTTGTAACTGTCTAATTCAAACAACCCATTTAAAAATCCCTGTCTGCCAAAGTTTGACCTTTTTGTACTTTTCATTGTTATAACTTGATTTTTTTGTTTTCTGTTTTTATCACTGATACTTCAAAAATATAAATCTGTTGTCAACAACTGAAAGCTAAATGTGATTTATAAACTTGGTAATTTAGCCATACCATCCTGTTCAGCTAAATCATAATCTCTTTTTCTCTGAGAAAAATTTAAATACTTAAACAATCCCTGCATCTTTAGCTAACTGATAGAATAATCCATCAGTTTTCTTCAGCAATTCATTTGGAGAATCAAATTCCTTTATTTCACCCTTGTCCAGGACCATGATTCTGAAATGTAAAGTATTATCTTCTGAAATGTGCTAATACCAATGCAATGGAGCTTAGTATAGGCATTTTAAACTACAAGAACACATTTACACATATCTCTGTAATACTAATGGAGCTGCAATATTGAAACTGTTCATTTACTGAGTGGAGACAAAGGTTCAAGAAATGGTCATATTTGACAGTTGACCTATTTTTGGACATAAAAGACCGAAATAAATATTCAATTTTCAAACTTTCAAAATTATCATGATTAGTAATTGTGTTGCTTAATCCTCAGCATGTCATAAATAGAATCAGCCAGTTTGAATTAAATATTTGTCAGGTCATAAAACTGATAATTATGGAGTATCCTGCAATACACTCTATCTTACTCATCCATGTTTTGCCCAAGGATGCACTTGTCACATTTTCCAGGCTGTTCACATGCAACCTAACCCCTAGGCAAGCAGTTAGTGCATGTGACATCATTATATCTGTTATTCACCCTTGGAACTTAGAATTGACAATAAAATTTGAATTTTATAATATTATTTTAAGAATTTAATATTTTTTCCCTAAAGCTATGAATATAAAATTTTTCTACAAACAAAAAACAATAGTTTGATTTTTAGAAATAATTCCTGTTCAAAATATATCCGGTTTGAAATTTAATAAGTCAAGGTATACATCTGGTTTAATGGTTTTTTTTTAGTTAGATTTTATGGTAAAGGTATTCTTATTTGATGAAGGCAAAAATCTTTTATTCCAAAATCATTATAAGCCATTGAAATTTCTTTTCTTATATGCAGAAGGAGTAAAAGCAGAGACTGGTTAGCTAAGAGTCAGAATAATGTGTCCCGGTAGAGTGACATGTCTTCCTGTAGACTTTACCTTGGGAATTAGCCATTAAAAATCTGGCTTAGCATGTCTGTCTAGTACAAACCAGGATTTATATTCATATTGTATTAACACATTTTGCAGTTTGGTCCTGAATATGCATTTAATTAGCCATTCATCATAATCCTTTTATATACAGAATTATGCCCTTTCAACTTTTTAAAATTTTGACCCATGTCAATATCCACCTTTTCAAAATATAATATTCTGTATGGATACATTGCTCAATCCTGGAATAGTGATAGACATTTGGGAAGAATGTCCTGGTCTGTCTAGGTTTTCCACTGAAGTTGTGATAAAAAGGTAAAGACTGAAAGTGTCAACACTGTTACATTTATTGCGAAACCCAATGAAAGTTTTCCACAGTGCCATCTCTATCTTGACCAGGTATTTAAACTTTTGTAAGTTCACCTGTCCTATTAAATAAATACAATAGCTATTGTTCTCTGTGTAGTTTTTTTTCACTGGGACCTTTAAATTTCTTCTAAGAGAAATCTATCACTGATTGATTAATTTACCTGAGTAAAAAAAAATCTTGTAAATAGAGGAAAATACATGTTTTATACTCAAAACTGCATGTGATGTTATATTTATTCAATATTGATAATATATTTTCAATTGTTTGAATGTAAACAGTGATGCAAACATTAATAAAATATAAAAAAGAAGATGTGGTATGATTGCCAATGAGACAACTCTCCACAAGAGACCAAATGACACAGAAATTAACAACTATAGGTCACTGTACCGCCTTCAACAATGAGGAAAGCCCATATTGCACAGTCAGCTATAAAAGGCCCCGAAATGACAATGTAAAACAATTCAAACGAGAAAACTAACGGCCTAATTTATGTACAAAAAATGAACGAAAAACAAATATGTAACACATAAACAAACGACAACCACTGAATTACAGGCTCCTAACTTGGGATATGGCACATACATACAGAATGTGGTGGGGTTAAACATGTTAGCGTTGATTTCTGTTATATTAATAATATATTAATAATATATTTTCATTCAGTTTAATATAAACATTGATTCAATCATAAAAAGTTGATTTCTGACAAAACTTTTTATGATTGAATCAATGTTTATATTAAACTGAAAGTAAATATATTATTAATATTGAATAAATACATCATCACACGCAGTTAATGAGTATAAAAAAAGTATTTTTGTCTATATTTAAGAATTTTTTTTTACTCAGGTAAATTAATCAATGAGTGATAGATTTCTCTTAGAAGAAATTTAAAGGTCCCAGTGAATAAACTACACAGAGAAAAATAGCTATTGTATTCATTCAATAGGACAGGTGAACTTACAAAAGTTTAAATACCTGGTCAAGATAGAGATGGCACTGTGGAAAACTTTCATTGGGTTCGCAATAAAAGGGCAGATAATGAAAACTCAATCTAGCCAAAATCCCTGTAATGTTGATGAATCTATAATTTTCGAAGCAAAGAAGTATATTTGTATACTAGATAGCAAGACAAAAAGAAACATTGTATAAATATAAATATCTTGGAAAATTTTACCTATCATAATCCATGACTGTATTCAAACGATGAGCTATGGTTATGACAGTACAATCAGCAAACTCTTGTTTAATTGTCTGTTGGATAAGGTCATCCGTTTCCATGTCAACTGCTGCAGTGGCCTCATCAAGAACCAGTATTTTAGTCTTCCTTAATAGACTTCTAGCTAAACAAATTAACTGTCTCTGACCAACACTGAAAAATGTAAATTTGGTTAATAACAAAACATATGAGCTGAGTCGGAGAGAAACCTACTGTATGCAAGTGCACGTATACATGTAAATGTATAAGACTTTGATTGATTTTGGAGCATTCAAATACGAAAAAATAAGATGAATTTTGGTCTGTATTGTAGGGTTCTTACAACAACTCAATTACAGTTACAGACTTTCTGCAGAGATTTTTTCAACCTGAAATAGGTTAACAGATGTATTGATATTCATTTGCAAAAGGTAAAGATTCTTATACCCAATATCATTTAATGCCATCTACCAAAAAACAACATTAAAAGGGTCAAACTTAAACATTGGTAATACATGTAATGACAATTTAGCAAATTTTAGCAGTTTTTAAACTTGTAAAATATCAGATCAACCCAAATAAATTCTGCCAGGTCAATTTGTCAATTATTTTTTTGAGTTTTGAGAAAACAAAACTAGTTAAGCTTTCACATTAGATATTTTTTAGTTAACATTCTGGTCTGTAAATTACTTCTAAAAAAATTGATAATTCTTCATATTTTCTGCTGGAAAAGTAAAGATCCATCTAAATCTAAAATTGAGAACGGAAATGGGGAATATGTCAAAGAGACAACAACCCGACCAAAGAAATTTGTTTAACATAACATCATAACATATATACTTTGGTTTGACTTTTTTAACCCCCTCCACCACAAACTATAAGATGATCTTTAGAAATACCCTTGTAGAAGATAATCACCTGAGATTTAGTCCTCCCTCCCCACAGTCGTATTCAAGTTTCTGAGGTAGATTTTGTACAAATTCTTTAAGATGTGCATGTTCTAAAGCTTTCCATAAGTCTGTCTCTTTATATTCATCCATTGGATCTAAATTCATTCTCAAGCTACCAGAAAATAACACAGGATCCTGAAACAACAAATTTGGTTAAAATACTTCTTCATCGACATTTACCATAAAAGATAATTAGCAAAAAAAGATACAAAAGAATGAAACTGTTGGGTGTCAAATTAAAAGTAAGAGAACATTTTACTTAAAAATTAGCTCAAAATTTCAAAGTAGTTGTTTTTTAAATCATGAAATTCCCTCAAATATCATATAAAGTTTTATTCTACAATTTAATCACTTTCATAAAAAAAAGATTGAATAAGGGATAGATGCTATAATGAAAACCTTCTTCAAAACACCAGACAATAGCCAAATAATTAAGATAGTAGAGCAAAACTTTCAATGTCTTCAATTATTAAAGAGAAATAACTCTATAACTCAAGAGAAATTCAAGATAACTCAAAGAAAATTTTCAGTCACCTTCAACAAAAATATCCCTATATCTAAAATAAGGAAGTAAAATGTTCACGTTTCTAGCCCCTAAGTTGGAGCAATATTTTTTTTTCAGGATAAAAGTACTTTCTAATGTACATTCATGGTTTCCTTTCAGAAATAGATAAATTTTTGCAATGTTTTGATTATCGTGAAATTGCATTTTAAATTTTATTGATATTTTCTATATGGAGCATTTCCTGAAATTACAATATGTCATATTTGTGTCCATAGTTTAACAATCACTATAATAAATGCACACACAAATATTTCTGAATTTACAGTAAATGGTGTTATTGTTTGTTGAAACTACAAAATTCCAAACTCTACAAAAATATACTATGTTACAACAACTCTTATATCTTAGCATTTCACTCAAATTGCTACACTATATATTTATTTTTACCTGAGGTAGAATTGTTAATTTAGATCTGCAGTCATGTAAACCCATGATATAGAGGTTTTCTTCATCAACAATAATTCTTCCAGAGGCTGGTTCAATCAAGCGGAACAGTGCCAACGTTAGGGAAGATTTACCTGCCCCTGTTCTACCAACTATTCCAACCTAAAAGTAAAAAGATGCCAGAATTAACCACCTGCTCTCTGTCATCCAATAAATTATAAAAACACAATTTAAGTACAGAGGTGAAAACAACAATTTCACTTTTCTGTCAATTACATGGTGTGAATTACGTGGTGTAAATTATATTTACTATAAGTTTTCAAGTTCATTTTTATAAATAAAAGTCTTTTTTAGCATTAGAAATTTCACACTGTGTTAAATTCTATTATTTATTGTCCTAAAGCATGGACATTCTGTATTTGTTTTATTCCCTACAAAACTAGGACAAAATGGATCATTAAGTCAGATTGATAAAATTTTATACAAGCATTGTTAATTTGTAAAGAGAATAGCATTTCATTGGAATAAAATAAAAAAAATGATGAAATTTTGATTTATTCAACTATTGTTTTGTTTTTTTTTAAACGCTCAAATTTAGTCTATTATGGTGTTTGAGTAACAAATCACACAGACTAAAATGGATTAGTGTGGATGTGGATCACAAAAAGTATAGTCTGAAATTGATCAGTTTGGATCACAAATACCACACTGAAATGGATCTGTGTGAATCACAAATAACACAGGCTGAAATGAATTAGTGTGGGTCACAAATAACACAGACTAATATGTATTAATGTGGATCAAAAATATTAGACTGTAATGGATCAATGAGGATCACAAGTAACACAGACTAAAATCAATCAGTGTGCATTACAAATAGCAGAGGCTGAAATAATTAGTCTTGAAAAGAAATAGTGTAGTATGAAATTGACTAGTATTGATCACAAATAACAAAAACTGAAATGAATTACACATAGCAGATACCGAAATGGTTATGTGTAAAACACAAATAAAACAGACTGAAATGGTAAGGGTGGACTATAAATACCCCAGCCTGAACTGGATCAGTGTGGATCACAAATAACACAGCCTAAATGTCATCAGTATGGATCACAAATAACATAGACTGAAATGGATTAGTGTGGATCACAAATAACACAGACTGAAATTGATTAGTGTGGATCATAAGTAACATGGACTGAAATGGATCAGTATGGATTACAATTAACACAGACTGAAATGGATTAGTGTGGATCACAAATAACATAGACTGAAATGGATTAGTGTGGACAACAAATAACACAGACTGGAGTGGATATGGGTTTTTATCATTGCTGAAGGTCGTACAGTGACCTATAATTGCTGATATACATGGCATTTGATCTCTGGTGGATAGTTGTCGCATTGTCAATCATACCACATCTCCTTATTTTTATACAGTGTGGGTCACAATAACAGACTGATATGGGTCTGTATGGATCGCAAATAAAATGTGCTGAAATGGTTAAGTGTGAATCACAAATAACAAAGATTGAAATGGATCAATATGGATCACAAATAACACATACTGAAAAAGATTTGTGTAAATCACATATAACAGACTAGAATTCATTGTATATTAGGTGTTTAACATTTTTAAAAATTTTTCATTGGATAAGTGTGAATAGCAAATCTCTTACCTTTTCTCCAGAATTAATCTGTGTATTGATTCCTTTTAGTACAAGATCTAAACCCTCCCTATATCTGGTAGAATACCTCCTAAATTCTACTACACCATTTTGTGGCCAGTCAGGTGATGGTCTGTAGTTAGTCACAAGGTTGGCCTAGAGTCAAGTAAAAATTGTACATTTATATAAAATTAAAAAAAAACACAATGAACAGTACATGTACAATAAATTGGCTCTATCTATAGAAATCTTTTTATAAATTGGATATCAAATCCTAATTTGTATGGTGACGTTGTACAAATAGCTCATAAATTAAGTTACGATACATGTTAACTTAGTGGTCCTTTGAATAAACTTATTCTTACAGGTTATCAATTTAATATTAATATTACAGCAATTTCTTTGAACAAAGTATTTTATTTTTAATAAATCAATACATAACTTGACATGTATTCCTATCCATTTATGAACACTTATGTCCCATAGCCTGTCAGTACTTATATTTTGGCATTGCACAATGTCATGTTTCTCTGAGAGAAACAGCTTATGACATCACATCATCTCTCCTTTAATTCCATTGGTGTGTACTGGTTCATATTTCAGTCTTGAGAATATGGTTCATCTTTTAGAAAATAAAGGTTTGAACTAGCTATCCATAACTGTGAGTACTCTTAGTTTGTACTTTTTGTCTATTGCCTTTGTCAGTGTTTTCAAGCTTTTTGTCCTTGCCATTGTTTTCATGCTTTTTGTCTTTGCCATTGTTTTCATGCTTTTTGTCTTTGCCATTGTTTTCATGCTTTTTGTCTTTGCCATTGTTTTCATGCTTTTTGTCTTTGCCATTGTTTTCATGCTTTTTGTCTATGCCATTGTTTTCATGATTTTTGCTTTTGCCATTGTTTTCATGATTTTTGCCTATGTCATTGTTTTCATGCTTTTTGTCTTTGCCATTGTTTTCATGCTTTTTGTCTATGCCATTGTTTTCATGATTTTTGCTTTTGCCATTGTTTTCATGCTTTTTGCCTTTGTCATTGTTTTCATGCTTTTTTCCTTTGTCATTGTTTCATGCTTTTTGCTTTTGCCATTGTTTTCATACTTTTTTGCCTTTGTCATTGTTTTCATGTTCATTGTCTTTGCCATTGTTTTCATGCTTTTTGTCTTTGCCATTGTTTTCATGCTTTTTGTCCTTGCCATTGTTTTCAAGTTAGTACCTTTCTGATGAGTCAAGCCTTTTCCCACTGACTTTTACAATTTTGTCTTGTGTTGTGTTTTTATTAAGGTTCTTTATTTTACTGTTCCAGGCAAAGACCCTGTAATCCAGTGGTGGTAGTAGGTTAATGTCTGACATATGTGTTTTTGTTTATTGTTTTTAAGATATGAATCCGGCTGTTGGTTTTCTCTTTTGAATTGTTTCATGTTTTGTCATCCTGAGAGCCTTTTATAGCAAATACTTAAATACAAATAAGTTCATATACCTCTGAAGGGATTTCTGTATATTCTTTAACCCTTTCAACAGACACAATGTTAGTTTCCAGGTCACTAGTCATCCTTACCAACCAATTTAAATTTTCTGTAATCTGTTAAAACAAAACCAAAATTATAACACTGATAATATAATACTCTCATAGAAAACAGTGTAATGTTTTTAGCTTTGTTTCTATGATTTCTGACTTAATTGTGATATCTTTATCATAGAACATATATCAATAATACAGTGCCAAAGAACAATAAAAGTGTTTAAAAGGACAATTACAATAGGGTAATTTACACAAGACTGAAATCATAGACAACTATCGAATTCGTTCACTTTCCTGTACATTACCTAAGTCACAATGTTAATGTTATTACACCTCGGTAAGAATTGATTGTTCAATGACTTCATTTACGCCGATTGACCTCAAGTTAACCGGTATAACTCATTCATAAAAAAAATAACTTGAGATAGGTCTCTGAAACTGAAATATGAATATAATAATGATTTTTTTCACATTTTTAAAAGTTTTAGCTCTGTAACTTATTATGAAATTCAAGTATTATAATGTAAGCACTTTCAACAAATTGTTTATTGTTTTGAACTTATAATAAAAGTTGATGTTGTTGGTTGCTGTCGGTCAAATTTGTTTTCTGTTGATTGTTTTGTCATTTTTTGGTTTTCTTCTTTTAAATGTTTCACATTTATTTAAGACAGGGTCAGAACCTTTTAAAGCTGACTAATACAGTACAGGTTTTTCTCATTGTTGAAGGTCATATGGTGACCTGCCATCAACATCATTTGGACTCTGGTGGATTGTTGATTCATTGGCAATCATACCACAACTCTTTGTTTTTTTACGCACATTATATTATTCTACATCATAATAACCTGTAAGGCATAGGAGATGGATAAACCCACAATAGCACCATCAATGTTTTCTTTCCTGATAACAGCTATAACAGCAAACATGGCTGCTGAGAATACTGTTAGATTACCAAGAAATTCCAGTCTTACTCCAAGCCATCTGTAAAATAATTAAAAGAAGATAATGAATAACAGGAATTAAATTATATACTGTAAAAAAAAATTTCAATGTTTTTACTACTGCGATAATTGCGATGGTGTAGGTGTTGCAAAAAATAAAACTATCATTTCAATTATGATAGCATATTTTGTATGCAGTATCTCATGAAATCACATTTTATTTTTGTATGTTGTCCAACAATCACAATAATAAATGCATGCAAAAATTCCTGAATTAAGATTAGTATAAATTAACCATGGTAATAAAGTTTTCTTTGAAGTAACTACCATTGTATTAGTGTAATATGTACAATTTATCCGTATAACACAAACAAATCACTTTAAATCCACCCTATATGCAGAAACTGAACTTAACTTACCTAATTAAAGGTTTTACAAAGAGTGAGAATTAGATATCGCCTGATATCAACTCGAGTTACTTAATCTTAATATAACAATAAACGAGCCTATGGCGACTTTATTATACTATTTAAATTAAATAACTAGAGTTGATATCAAGCGATATCCACATCTCATGGGTTGTTAAACCTATTTCTCTTTTGGAAATCATTCTTTTTCTGTTAAATAGAAAATCATATGACTTGTTGATCTAGTCTTTTGCAGATACAACTATGACATCATATGTCCTGTTTGGGCATCAAACTTTAACATCTGACATTTTGAAATTTTTTGTATGTTTCAGAAAGTAATAAATTTTGACAAAAAGAAGATTTTCAGGTGAAAATTGTGAGAGTTTCTTATATTATTGGAGAAATCAAATATCTCTATTGCCATTGAGAAAATGTACATTGTTTTGACCATTGACAGTCATCAATAACCTAAGGAATAGCCAATGGAAATGTCCCAATATAGTTTCATGATGCTAGTTAAGTCAATCAAAGTTACACATTTTTTCGTATCACACTCTGTGCAGTGTGATTTGATCAAAATCTCTTAATGCAAGAAATAGATAACAGGCCACAACCATAAACTAGAGGCTCTCAAGAGCCTGTGTCGCTCACCTGTATTTACTGATGCTTTGGAAATCATGTAAAATAAGGTTAAAATCATAATTAATAGTATTAGTTATTAGATATTATAATGATATCTAAGATAATAACAAAAAACTGCAAAATTTTTGTAAAATTACTAACTCTGGGGCAGCAACCCAACAACGGGTTGTCAGATTTGTCTAAAAATTTTCAGGGCAGATAAATCTAAATCTGATGAACATTTTTGCCACCTGTCAGATTTGCTCTAAATGCTTTAGTTTCAGAGATATAAACCAAAAACTGCATTTTACCCCTATGTTCTATTTTTAACCAAGTCGGCCATGATGGTTGGAAGGCGGGGTCATCGGACAAATTTTTTAAACTAGATACCCTAATAATGACTATGGCCAAGTATGGTTAAATTTGTCTCAGTAGTTTCAGAGAAGAAGATTTTTGTAAAAGATTACAAAAATTTACAAAAAATTGTTAAAATTTGACTATTAAGGGCAATAACTCCTAAAGGGGTCGACTGACAATTTTGGTCATGCAACTTATTTGTAGATCTTACTTTGCTGAACATTATTGCTGTTTACAGTTTATCTCTATCTATAATAATATTCAAGATAATAACCAAAAACTGCAAAATTTCCTTAAAATTACCAATTCAGGGGCAGCAACCCAACAACAGGTTGTCAGATTTGTCTGAAAATTTCAGGGCAGATAGATCTGATAATCAGTTTTACCCTATGTCAGATTTACTCTAAATGCTTTGGTTTCAGAGATATAAGCCAAAATCTACATTTTACCCCTATGTTCTATTTTTAGCCATGGCGGCCATCTTGGTTGGTTGGCGGGGTCATCGGACACATTTTTTAAACTAGATACCCTAATGACAATTGTGGCCAAGTTTGGTTAAATTTGGCCTAGTGGTTTCAGAGGAGAAGATTTTTGTAAAAAGCTAACAACGACGGACGACACCGACGACTACGGACGACGGACGACGGACGCCAAGTGATGAGAAAAGCTCACTCGGCCCTTCGGCCAGGTGAGCTAAAAAATGAATTTTAAAGGTAAACCTAAACTTAAGGTTTTTTACTGAGGAACAAAAGGAAATCTCAATGCCCATCTCTACAGCCTCTCAGGTTTCACTGATTTGTTTCCAAATTTAATGCATTTATTGAATATCAATAATCTGAAACCAACCTATTGGCAGTAATACTGGCATAACTAAATCTCTGATTCATATCTATTCTCTGATCAGAAGTTTCAATGAATCTGTCCTGAGCTCCATAAGCTCGGATCACACTTGCCCCAGAGACGGTTTCTCCAAAATGATTATATACGGGTGATCTCGTCTTAGATTGGAATCTTTTCAACTGTCTAGATGTGGCTACATAAAATCTCTTTAATAAAAAATAGAAATCAATAATTAAACAAAGCTTTAAAAATTACAGAAATTTAAACAATTTTAGATATGATCTTTGGAAGAACAGTCCAAAAAAAAAAGAAATTTTTATTCTGGGGATGACAAACAAATTGGCTGTTTTGTAGCTTTAACTTCATACAATTAATACATTCAATGCCTAAATGATGCTAGTCTTCCGTATTTCAAAAGAATCTTTTTTTTTTACCTCTTGCAATGTCTGAATTTTATTTTTTTAAATGTCTCAGATCTGCAGAATAGACTCATGAAGATGATACCTTTTAATACAAGAATTTTAAAAATGAACAGTAGCAAGCATACCTATAAAAGGGATGACAAAAAGCTTTGATTTATTACAGCTCAACAAAATATTTGCTATGCATTTCCAACCCAGTAGTTTTTATCCAGCAGCATTTTCCTAATCCATTTGAATAAATAAGAATGTTCTTCATTACACCATATGTACAACATTGTAATAGATTTATTTCAAATATTACATATCAAGTTAATGTCTATTGTTTTTTAAGTCATTTGGTCACTGTCTCATTAACACATACCCAACATCTCCTTTTATCCTGCAATAGACCTATCTACTATACAAATACAGGGGTACAGATAACACGCAGCGATAAACGTATACTAGACGTTTATAGTCTCCTGGTATCCTGCTTCTGTTGGGAGCGTACGGTTATGTTCAAATTACTGTTTACATCACAGTTCAATTTGGGGTCCTCATTGAGGTCCGCGTTTAAATCATGTAGATTTCATTCAACAACAAATTCAACAATTGGGATGGGGAAAAAATGTACAAAATGAAAGAACCTTAGTGAGCGCGCTCACATACCCCACGTCCCCACATTGTCATTGGAGAAATAAAATAAGTGAAAGAAAAAAAAATTGTATCAGAAAAAAAAATTGAATCATAATTTCCTGTCAATATGCACATCTACATAGTATGTCCTTATTATCTACACAGTTTCATGAAATTCTGTTGTGTGGTTTGAGAGGAGTTGCGATGACAAAAGGTTGCAGTAGTATATTGGACAAATAAGTTCAAAGGGGCGTAACTCCTGGGAAAAAAATTGAATCGTAATTTCCTGTCGATATGCACATCTACGTAGTATGTCCTTATTATCTACACATTTTCATGAAATTCTGTTGTGTGGTTTGAGAGGAGTTGCGATGACAAAAGGTTGCAGTAGTATATTGGGTATTTAAGTTCAAAGGGGCGTAACTCCTGGAAAAAAAATTGAATAATAATTTCCTGTCGATATGCACATCTATGTAGTATGTCCTTATTATCTGAAAAGGTTTCATGAAATTCTGTTGTGTGGTTTGAGAGGAGTTGCGATGACAAAAGGTTGCAGTAGTATATTGGGCAAATAAGTTCAAAGGGGCGTAACTCCTAGAAAAAAAATTGAATTGTAATTTCCTGTCGATATGCACATCTACGTAGTATGACCTTATTATCTGAAAAGGTTTCATGAAATTCTGTTGTGTGGTTTGAGAGGAGTTGCGATGACAAACTGTTGCAGTAGTACATTAAAGTAAATAAGTTCAAAGGGGCGTAACTCCTAGAAAAAGAATTGAATCGTAATTTCCTGTGAAATTCCTGTGAAATTCTGTTGTGTGGTTTGAGAGGAGTTGCGATGACAAGAAACAGGACTGACAGACTGACGGACAGACGAGTCAAAAACATTATACCCTCCGCAACTCGTTGCGTGGGGTATAATTAATTGCAGGATAAAGTCAATAACTGTTTAGTGTCTTTAAATATCAGCTGTATTTGTACTCGGCTCGAAACAGCAGTAATAGCTCACATTACACCTGTTTCTTAGCCTCGTACAAAGACAGCTGATATTTAAAGACACTAAACACTTATTGTCTATGTATTCATAGGCATGCCATTTGGCTACACCAAATCTCAAACAGAAGAAGATTTTAAAATATTTGAAGACTTACTTGAGCAAGAAAATAAAAGAATCCAAATGGTACAATCACAGTCATGAAAAAAGGAGTACTATAAGATATCACAATAAATGTAGCAACAACCATAAAGGCAGTATCCCAAAACATCTGAACTGTCCATGGCAACTCGTTGTCTATTGTTTCAATATCTGCTGAAAATCTGTTGACAATTCTACCAATTGGGGTGGTATCAAAGAAAAACATCGGTGCTCTGATGACACTGTGTAACATTTCATGGTGGAGCTTTCTAGATGCTGCCACTGATCGTAACATGAATAATGTCACATACGACAATAAAGATATTCCTGAAAAAAAGATAAAATATAAAGTTATATATACAAATGTGCATGCTATACTGTGTTCATGCTATGAAATCAAACACAGGATATAACCCACAATTTTTAACCTCAGGTTCCCACTTATTAAGAAGTAAGCCCACTTTGAAGATTTCCCCCACAAACCTAAAAATAAAGATACTTCTGCACCAAAATTGTTGATAACATCTGTCCACTGGATTTGGTTACATCTTTGGCATCACAGTTATATTTTTTTAAAGTCCTCTTTGTCGGCACACCTGGGCAGTTCCCTGCAAACAAGCACTACCTATCTTTCTTCCTGTGATTGCAAACACATAGGTATTCCATAAACAGGAGTAAAGCTCCTACTTAATCTTGCTCTTTCCCCATAAAGATAGCAAACTTTAACTAATTCAGGTCAAAACCTGGACTAAAATGCCATAGTGTGAACAGGGTAAAACTCTATGCCTTATACCTTATGATGGGAGAATAATACACACCTCAGTTACAGAAATATTACAACAAATCATTTGAACTTTTTCAGGTGCATCAGTTGGACTGATCAAGAAGTTTAAAAACTGATTATAAATTATATTTGTGCACAACACATATATTCCCATCCTCAGCACAGAGAGTCAAATTGATTATATTTCTATACTCCTGTAAACCTTTCAAAATAGTGATAAAATATGATGGAATGCAATGATCTGTTAGATTTTGAAAACAAGTGGCTCTTAAGAGCTTGTATCACTCACCTTGTTCTAAGTGCATCTATAACAATTGACACTCTCCAACATAGCAGACTAGAATATAATCTATGACAAAGTTTTTGCCCAAAACACAGAAATGGTAAAAATTGTAATTTCAGGGCAAAACCTTCTATAAAAAGACAACTGACAATTTTATACATTAGACCTTTTTGTAGATCTTGTCTTTCTGATTCATTTTAATATTTAAAGCTTTTACTTGTCTATTATATTTACAAGATAATAGGCAAATATGCGATGCATAGGTAAAAATTTCCCATTTAAAGGAACTAACTCCTATAAAGAGTTGATCAACAATTTCAGCAATATTGTCTTATTTAGAGATATTGCCTTGTTGAACTTGATCATTTTTGCAATTTAGAGTTTCTCTCTATCTATTAAAGTTTCAAAATAATATGCAATAACACAAACAATTGGTAGAACTGATCATTTAAGGGCAATGACTCCTATAAGGAGTCAACTGACAATATCAGCAATATTGACTTATTTGTAATATTTGTAGATTTTTTCATGATGATATTTGTTTTTTAAAGTTTCTATCTGTCATTTATGGGCAATAACTCCTGTAAAAAGTGTTTGACAGTCTTGATGTAAATGGACAGTATGTAGATCTCATCATTCATTCTGAACATTTTTGTCCATCCTCCACTCCTCCCATTTTGTTAAATTTGGCTCTATGATGAATCAAACCTCTAGTCCTAACTTTATGCAAAATTAGGAAAAGTAAGTTAGGCAAAATTTGAAAAAAAGAAATTCTATGTTGAAGCATATATTAGTTCAGTCGTGAAACAGTTTACTATAAATAAACAGATGGATAGATTAAGGACCAAAAACAATAAACTGACAGGCAAAGCTTTAAGATGATGCTAACAAACTATTCATCTAATTAACATAAAATATTCAAATTACCTATAGCTACTCCCGTTCCACCATATACTCCTAAATAGAAGTCATTTCTCTCCCTGTATACTGTACTGTTAGGTTCTAGTGATCTGTTGGTCAGAGTTTGATCTGATGTCCACTGACTAAGCCAAATATTTCCAAAAACAGAGGTAGCCTGATTCAAGGCAAACAGAACCAAAATAATACATGTATAAGGTACACCTAATGCCCTGGCATAGGTACCAAATACCCCAAGTCTTACCTGAAATATAAATACACATGTATGGTGCACTTAATCATATGGCATAGGTAAGTAACAAATACTGAATTTGGGTATGCATAATCTACAGTTTTTATCTTCAAAATTCAAAGAGAGATTTCATTGTTTGTTTACATTCTGCCGTGTTTGTTCTTGCAAAGGAGAGGGTGCATTCTTTCTATTCAGATACTTTAATCATTTACCTAATTCATATTAAAATGCAATTTTATTTTTTAAATCCAGTATAAACTGATAAATATCAAAATAAAATGCTCCTTTCCAAAATTTATCTTTCTTACCATAGTATTGCATAATGATGTATAAATTAAAAAAACATAATCAGATATTCGCTCAGATTTGGTGTTTGAGACTGCTGCTAGTGTTTTGTTTAAGCTACAGGTCCTTCAAACATTAACCAGACAATATTTTACTAAATGATAACACTGTTTTTACTTTCATATTTTTTTTCTTTTGTAATATTTATTAAATACTGATTTTCAACAAACTCTTAACAAAATTTGTGATTTATACTCATTTATTTTCCAGTGACAAACACAATTTTTGCAACATTTTCAACTGGAAAAATGAAATAAAGAGCTTGTTCTTTTTTAATATTCCATTTAACTTTCAGCGGAACATTAAAGTAATAATAAATAGTAGAAATGACAGCTATTTTATTTTCTTCAATTTAACCTTTCTTATTAACATTGTCAACAAACCACAATTAAGTATTCCTGCCAGATTCATTATTTCCAAAGTCCTTTACAATTCTCAATCCCAAAATTTTCATTACAGTAAGGTAAGCTAACAAGGGACATAACAGGCAACCACAGAAAAAATTAAAAACAAAAGAAAAATGTGACCTGCATTTACTCCTAACCAGGAGAAAATTGCTTTATGATGAAGTCAAGCAATGTGGCTAATTGTTTCTATATGGTAATGCAAGATTACGAGGAAGAATGTCAAGGTATTTCATTAGCTTTCCTCACAAAATCACCATCAAAGTGTACTTACATTTCCCTCCTCCATCTTTTCATCTGTAATCAGTTTATTTTCTCCTGTAGATTTTTTCTCATTCTGTTTTAATTCATCTTCTTTAGACTTGAGTCTCTGTAATTCAGGGCTTTTAGGATCAACTGCATCTTTTGATATTAATCTCTTCAAGATTTTTTTGTCATCTGTTTCTGACTGCACACCCCTAAAAAGGAAACAAATCAACGTTATGTAATGAGATACTTATAACATGGGGTGTATCTTCCTGATTATTCCTGCAATTGAGTCTTTGAAAATTAAACTATTTAAAAGCTGTCCTAAAGTACTGAAAAGTAACAGTAGTGATTTGGCCAAAGGGCAAGCAGGGTAGAAATTAGCTTTAAGCATTTATTTAAGACTAAAATCCTACTCTTTGGATATTTACACAGCTCTCAAGAGAGAAAGCAGGAATGGGTTTATATTTTATATTGTAATTAGATGAATTTATCTAATGTTTGAGCCTGTGCAATTTTTTTTTAATTCATATATTGACGAAATTTTCATGAATATTTGATTTCCTGTTTTTGCCAAAGTCAGCATAGAAAAATTGTACTTTGTTGAACATTTAAATTGGTGGTCTACCTAAACCCACGAAACCCAGGAAATTGGTACCCTATAAATGATAATGAATCCAGAGTAAATCACATACTTATCAGATTCATCATCCTCTGATGTTATTGATGTCAATCTTTGTAATATCTTAGCTTTTATTTCTTTCTCTGAAATAAAAAAAAAAACGATTCAGACAACTCAAAATTTCAGCACAATATTGTGAAGAAAGTTATAATATATAGAAAATATCTTGGATGATTTGATCTGTCTTTTCCTTGTCTTCATATTTTTTTGGACAACTTTTTAATTTACAAGTTTTTAATATTTTCATGGTATCTTCTGCTTCTTTTTTAGATTTTATATGCTGATAATTCAGTAAAGTGTGAGTACATTTATTATTGCAATTGTTGGATAATGAACACAAATGCAAGATAAGTTATTGTGATTTTAAGAAATGATGCATATAAATAAATATTTTGAATAACAAACAAAATTTTTCCGAAATTTTAAATATTCTTCAGGTTTTAACCAGAAACAAGCTCGACTTATATTCATATTTTTGAATTTTCTTAATTATTTCCTTTAGGTCTTTAAAACTTCAAAATAATCACATTTTAAGATCTTATCATAATATTTATAAATGAAAAACAGCCATACAACACAAACATTTTGCTACAGGATGTCTTAAACAAAGATGTTGATGAAAGTAAAATATCTTTTTGGGTAAAACTGTTACTCATATCTAAAACTCAAAAGGAGGCATGTGTTAAAATATAGAAATAGGAAATTCCAGAAATAATTTAAGTGCTATAACAAAACACTTATCAGTTAGGGACAGTTGCAGAACATAAAACTTCCTTTTTATGACTTTTTTGTGGTTTTTTTTTTAGCTACAAGAGGTCTTTTTTTTACAGTATTTTAGTTCGTGCTAAACAAATCTTTTTTTTTGCTTTTTTTTCACTCTGATATGCACTATTTCACTGAAAAATAAAATAATTGATATTGATGTAAGCTACTTGATAATTGTTCTGTTATGGTAAAAACAACCAATTAATCTTGTTAATAAGTGAAAAATTGCTTGGGGTTTTACAAGAAAGATCATATGCAAAAAAGTGAGGAAAATCATTGAATTGTTAGTTAAAACTTATTTCCGGAATAAATTAAATAGTGACAATTGAACAACTGGTAAACATGTGAATGACAATAAAACAGAAAACAAGATATATACTCACGTGCTTTCAAATATTTGACTGCAGAAATGTTAACACTTATAACATAAATATACTTGTCTAAAGGACACCATGCCCAAGGGTTTGGTTAGCGTTTACAGAAAAGAGAATAATGGGCAAAAAGTGAGACTAATGTGCCAAAAAATGAAGAATAGGTTGAGAAAAATTGACCAAAAAAAAGAAGAATAGAGAATAATGGGATTCTAAAATATGAAAAATAGAGTTGGAACCCCCCTTTTTTTTTAAACTTTGACCTATTGACCCCAACATCAATAGGCTTTTCCACTTCCATATGCCTCTATTTGTAAAAGTTTCATTCCGATCAAGCAAGGGAATTAAAGTTACCATCAACAATGAGTCATTGGCATTGGACACACAGACAGGGCAAAAGGAAGGCAGAGGGACAAAGTGTCACAACTATATATGATTAAAAAAAAATGTGATTAGCATATGAATAATTACAGGCAGCATGAGTATAAATTTGTAATATTTGTTAAACTTGGCTTTATTTAACTTCTCACTATTAACAAAATTGTGTTAGAAAAAAATCATATCAGTTTTCACCAATAATCTTTGGTTTTGTCGAAAATAAGAGTAGATATCAAAATTGTTGGAACTTTGTCAATTTAAACTCAAAAGATCTCCATTGTTCTTCATATGACCTTATACCTACCATCTGGATCCTCTTCTTCCTCATCCTCTGTTTGTATTAGATACATCTTTAAGAACTGTGCAAAAGCTCCATCGTGTGATAGAAGTTCATCGTATGACCCACATTCTGACACTGCTCCATCCATCATCACAATTATCTTATCAACAAATGGCAACCATCTTACTCCATGAGTCACTAAAACTCTTGTCTGAAAAATTAATGCTATGAGTCATTAAAATATCTATTCTAATTATTTAAACTTTGTACCTTCATTCTTATGTATTTTGAATCATGATTTGACATTTTGTCTGCCTGTTAAAACATAGCTACAACAATTTTTTGGGTTTTTGGGTACCTACTTCACTTATTGCATATCCAATTGTACTGGATTCTCTTCACAAATGTTTATCAAAAATTTACAAACAACATAATGGTAAGAAAAGTTCTTACAAAATACCAGATTTAAGATTCCCTTTGAATGTTTTTGCTTTTTCAAAAATTTAAAATTTGAAACAATAAAATATGTCCATAAAATGTAGCATTCAAAAACCTTATGTGACAGTTGTGAAGATGGAAATCTACAAATCCTGTAAATTTACCATCGATCTTTATAACCTCATTTAGGAGAAGGTAAAAAAACAGAGGAACAATGCTTGCATCCAGGTACTTTTTTGTGAAATGGTTTATAAATGTCTGAAAAAACGCTGATATTTTGTTTATCTTATTTCACTCTGACTTTTCAGATCTATTATATATATAAGGATGTCTTCTTTTTTGTGGTTGGGTTGATGTTTCATTGACATATACCCTACATCTTCTTTTATTCATATACATTCTACAAAAGGCATTTAATCTTAGCCACACTTCACATATCTTTAACAGAAATTTACCTTATCTTTCAGCAGGCCATCTTTACCGATCACCTGATCAAAGATATGTTTACCAACATTAGAATCCACAGCACTGAGAGGGTCGTCAAGGAGATAGATATCCATGTCATGATACACAGCTCTGGCTAAACTCACTCGCTGTTTCTGTCCTCCACTTAAATTTATACCCTGTCATATAAATAAACAGCAAAAATAACATTTGACAATTTAAATGTGTGATTCTACAACAGTAAAAGTTCTTCTTAAAGGTTGCAGTGCTGATGGAAAGCGTATCATAAACGGGTGTAAATCCAGGAGTTTTGTTTAAAGAGGAAGTAATGTTTTTTAAACACGATCAGAAAAATTATATATCAGCTAAAAAATGATCAAAATGTCTTGATTGCTCTATTTTCAAAATGCTTACAATGCATTTCTAACATGACAACCTATATTTTGTCAACCAGTATAATCAATTAAAAATTGGCTGTTCCACTTTACGCCCACTTTATACGACCAGGTAAACTCAATTTGCGATAGTTAAAACCCATGTTTTAAGTAGACCAAGCTTCAAATACAATACGTTTTAATTATTCTAATGCAAAAAAAACAAATAAGTCCATTTCAGTTACTATTTCGGTGTAAAATTTCATAATACAAAAATGTACCAAAATTCTGTGAAATGATGTTATTGTCTTTGGCAACTAAACAAAGTGACGTCATATGTATGCTTCCAGCATCAAATATAAACACCAGGTGTTTTCTGGCTTCTTGTACGCCTTAGAAGGTAATACAATTAGATAAAAAGAACATTTTTAGGTGGAAAATGTGAGTTTTTTTTATTTATTATTGATATTATTATTTATATCATTATATGGGATGTAAAACGGAACAGCCAAAACAGTTTCACGTGTATAAGGCTTTCACAGTTGACAAAAATACCGTATTTGTCCTATTAGAATCCAAATAATTCATGTGGATGTAGATTTATTAGAAAGTTACCTTTTCTCCTATTTCTGTGCTACCTCCTGCAGGAAGAATGTCAAGGTCAGGTTGTAAAGCACAAGCGTCAATCACTTGATCGTAGTCATCCTGCTTCATATCATTACCGAATAAAATGTTATCTTGTAATGTACAATTCTGTATCCAAGCTTGCTGAGGTACATATCCAACAGATCCCTGTAATGTCCAAAAATTGTTTTTGAATCATGGAATTAATTTTCTTAAAGTTGAGTTTATTTTTCTTAATTTTTGTTCTTAGGGTCAATTTGGCTCCAAATCGTACCATACCTTCTATCTTGTTTGGTATTTCAATCAACAACTTTGTGACTTAACATTTTGCTCTAACTTTCACTTTTCCAGGGTCAATATCAATCTAGTATATATATATGTATTCCTAGAGTATCATCTGGCTGTACCAAACTTTCATATTTTTCTATACCCATTAACTTCTCTACTATCTAATTTTGTAGATTTTACAACGACTAAGGCTTTGATCCTGCATAAAGAATTTGCTTTAAAAAAGAAGATTGTTTTCTTAGGCTGTATGAATCCTATTATATTTACACGTTTGGCTCTCCCAATTTTTGGCTGCTGGCATTCTTCAGGAAAGTAAACCCATAGATATACATGTACGGAAATATACTTTGTTTCAATTCATTTTAATTTTTCTGAGGATGGTTAAGGGTTATTTTCGTGCAATGTGTTTTGCCATTTATATTTCACGTGCAGCCGTGAAAAAGGTTCGTTATTCACTGTGTTTCATGAAATCGGTATAAAGATCAACGTGCAAGAAATTTTTAATTGTTCGTTCATCGTGAAATGGCAATTTAATTTCGCGTTCTTCCGTGCAGATACCCCCTCTTTACGCCCCTCTTTTCTGTTTTCCCATTTCCCAAATATCATTGCAATATAATATACCTTTACATTGACTGTTCCTTTAACTTTAGTCATGTCACCCAAAATAGCAGACATTAGGCTGGATTTGCCACTCCCAACCTGTCCAACAATAGCTACAAGCGATTTCTCTGGAACGTTCAAATCTATACTGAAAAATAATTATATGGTTGCCTATAACTGCTTACATCCACTTTATTTGAAAATATACGACACAATTCATAGTAGTCAACTCTTTCTTTAATATCAGCCAACTAGAAATACTGGAGTCAGTTTCACAAAAAAACTTACGCCTAAGATTGATTGTAAGTATACTGAATTGTTCATGACTTACGATCAATCTTAGTTGTAAGTTTTTTTGTGAAACCGACTCCTGGTGAATAACATTTATAGGAGTTCAAATATTGACTGTGGTTTTCTAAGAGGTTTTGTACTTTCACAATAGCAATTGGTCAAAAATTCATCTACTAAAATTCATTATCAGATGAAAATGTTCAGCCTAAAGCTGCTTTGTAATAGAAATATTCTTAACATATATAAGTATAATGATAAACTATTTATAAAAATACTTACTTCTTTAAACAGTCTCCTATGTCTGGATCCCACATAAATGTCCCATTCTCAACAATTATAGCACCATCTACAATGTAAGATATGAAGATTATTCACTTTTGAGTCTGTTATGCTGACTTCATTTATACAGAAAAAAAGAATCTGTGTCCATATGACACACAGCCCTGCTAGTATTATTATATGTCCATGATAAGTGAGTCGAGAAATCGGGTACAAAATCTTGATGGCCTTATTTATACAGCAAAAAATGTGATAAAAATAACTTGATTAGATCAGCAGTAAAATACTTTGATACTCAAAACTCATTTTTTATTCCTAGAATACCAATTTGGGTGATTGTTTGTTGTTCCAAGCAAACTACAGATTTAAATTTTCAATGAAATTATCAAGAGTTAAGTATTTCAAAATCCACATGTTTCAGTACTTTAAAACCATTTGTTCATGTAAATTTCAAATTGGCAATCCACAATTTAATTTTCCCACAATTTTTATTTCTCAATGAATCAAAATAAATAAATCTACAGTAAATGTTCATATTCGAGTGTGATGATTTTTCAGAGTTCATCTATCTTATAAAAAACTTTGACTTCAACAACTTTGAGACTGACTGATTATTATGTTTTAAAGGTCAATAACCATTGTAAACAGCAAATTATCAAAACCAAGAGTTTATTAAAAATTCAAGAATAAAAATTCGCAAGGGTTCCTCGGAACCCAGTGTCTCGCCTACTTTTGCTGTTAGTCGCAGGCTCAACAAAAATGGGGAAAAAATTATTAAAAATTTTCCTCTAGATACTATCTTTTGATTGTAATAGGTTCTGTTCAAGTTTGGTAAAAATCCAAGAAGGTTTATGAATCCAATAAATGTTTTAAAAACTTTAACTGCAGACTGTATGTAATGTTAACTGGAATAAAACTAAGTCCATTTATAAGTAATATACGGAAAAACAGGAAATACATTTTTACAAAATTTCCTTCTAGATACTAGCTTTTGATCATAAACAAGCTTCTGTCCAAGTTTGGTACAAATCCAGGATAGTTTAAGAAAGTTATTAAAATTTGAAAAACTTTAACCACAGAGTGAATGTAATGTTAACTGGCAGAAAAACTAAGTCCATTTATAAGTAAAATACGGATAAACAAGATATTTTTTTTAACAAAATTTACTTTTGAATACTATCTTATGATCACAATCAAGCTTCTGTCCAAGTGTGGTACAAATTCAGGATAGTCTAAGAAAGTTATTAAAATTTGAAAAACTTTAACCACAGAGTGAATGTTATGTTAACTGGCAGAAAAACTAAGTCCATATATGAGTAAAATACGGATAAACAGGATTTTTTTACAAAATTTTCTTCTGGATATAATCTTATGATTATAAACAAGCTTCTGTCCAAGTTTGGTACAAATCTAGGATAGTTTAAGAAAGTTATTAAAATTTGGAAAACTTTAACCACAGAGTGAATGTAATGTTAACTGGCAGAAAAACTAAGTCCATTTATGAGTAAAATACGGACAAACAGGATTTTTTTTTTACAAAATTTACTTCTGGATACTATCTTATGATCACAAACAAGCTTCTGTCCAAGTTTGGTTGAAATGCAGGATAGTTTAAGAAAGTTATTAAAATTTGAAAAACTTTAACCACAGAGTGAATATTTGTGGACGCCGATGACGACAACGACGCCGACAGAATGTAGGATCGCTATGTCTCACTTTTGTGACAAAAGTCGCAGGCTCGACAAAAATAGATTTTAAATTAGAAACTCCACACAGATTTTGTTCTGTAAAACACATACCAGTACATGACATTTGTGTTTTGTCCAATGTCAAGGAAATATTTCTACTTTATTTTTCATCAAACTAGGTTGTGACCATCCTAAAATGGTGTTAATAAATAGTTCATTCTAGAATTTGAAAAGAGTACCTACCGTTTAGGACTAACTGCAGTTCATTTACCATTCTGGAATGATAATGACACTACAGTAGAGTTAAAAACTGAAATGAACCATTTTACTTTTCTATTTATTTTCACATTCAATTTGATGATATCTTGATCTGCTATGCCACAACGAAGAACCGTTGTAAATTATGCCTTATATGTTCTTTGGAATAATCATGTCAAGTATCTACCTTTGGAATAATCATGTCAAGTATCTACCTTTGGAATAATCATGTCAAATATCTACCTTTGGAATAATCATGGAATACATTATCAGTATCCAATTCATCATGGCTTAGGAACTTATTCAATCTTTTAACTGAAACACTGGCCTGAAAATTAAATATAAAAAATACTATAGTTATAAACAGTTTGAAATGCTACAATCTGGATGTTTTCTGGACATATTAACAATTTTGGTAGGTATTAACTCTAAAACAGGAATAATAGTCATACACAATGTGAGATGGGGAGGGGGGAAGCACTTCAATCCTTTTGTGGTAGGGGTTAGCAGCTGAGACATCCAGTACCAAACCCTTTTCATATATTCTAATTATATCAAAAATATTGTAACCTATAACACATTTTTAGACAGAAAATAAGATACATTACGCTATTTCATGGAGAGTTAAAATAGATCTGACAAATATCTGATGTATTTTACACTGTGGTTTTAATTGCATCTTTAAAGAATGCTTATATCTGATCCAGTAGTTTAAGATACTTATGATATAGAAACCTTATCATATATTTAATCTAATTTTCAAGTGACCTATTCCAGTGGCTAATTTATTCCACTAGGTATATAGTAAGTACACACACCCTGAGTGTGAGATACTGTCATCTGGAGTTTTGTCCAGAAATATTAGTGGGTGAAGGTATCAATGCCAAAAGCAGGAATCAATATAATTAAAAAGGGAGAAGGTATGATCAGGTCACTTTTTTGTCCCCTTGAATTTGAAAATAAAAAAAGTATTATAAATCTACCAAAACAACACACTTCAGATGTTCATATGACATTATATATTCTGTCAGAATAGTGACATCACAATTAACCTATCTGCACTAAAATGTCCAGATTTTATTAACATGTTCATTTATCAATAAAATTAACAGTTTCAAAGACTTGAATAAATTTACAATTTTTGCAATTTCAGGGGCCAAATAATGGCTCTTATCATACCTAGTTTGTTTTATAGATAAAAAAAATCAATGCTAAAAACTTAAGATGATGAATAGCAATAAATAAATACTTGGTTATTTCCAAATATGCACTAAAATGTTGCCTCCAGTACATCCAATAATTTCCCCTTTAGAAAGGAGGTCAAAAAATTGCAAAGCTGTGGAGCTATTCATCAGGTTGTATCTTATTGCAAAACTAAAAGGTAGAACCAGTTCTCAATATAAAAATAAAAAGATGTGGTATGATTGCCAATGATACAACTATCTACCAAATCCAAATGATGTGGATGTAAGCAATTATAGGTCTTCAAAAGATCATATATACCTTTATCCAAAATCAATACCCAATCCCTAAAAGTCTGTCAAATTTCTAAGGTTTCTATATAATTAAGATCATCCACAGTTTTTAAAAGAGAATTGTATTATCAAATTTGAAAGCTATGTGAAAAGAAATGATGGCATATAAACTAGGAATGTGAATAATTTTAAAAGGCTATTTCTACAAGTCCCTTTTCTAGAATAACTGTTCCCTGTTTCAGATTTTTGTAAACTTAAATTATCTACATATTAATTAGTAAATATGGGTATCAGATAGGAAAGCAACAAGAAATGATAGTATTATGTAAGCAAGACAACCATTATTACATGTCCTCTTTAAAAAAAAAAAAAAGGATTCCCTGATTCTGATTTTCTTCAACGTTTTCAGAAAAATCAACATACATTTAAATTCAAAGTGATACAAGAATAAATGCAGGAGTAATCCAAGAATTACAATTACTGTAAGATATTTGTTGGACTCACCCTTTCATGATGGATTTTCTACTGATTTTATGCACACACAGTCACATACCTTTATTGTTTCTGTCAGAGCCATAGGAGCAAAGTTTATTGCAAATCTCAGGATGTTGAACAAAGAAATGGCAACAAAAGCAGTCTCAGCATCAAGATAATGGTCTTTGGATAGAAACACAAAGGTAGCAAATGTTACCAAAGATACCTGCAAAAATTTTTAAAAAGTGTAAGCATACATCCTGTTCAGGCCGCAGAGATTTAAGTTGCTTGAATATATATGACTGACTATTTTCTTATTCTAAAACTAAAAGAAACATTTAAAACATTTAGCATGCAACTAAACAGTACAAGCAAGCACCAAAGAACTTGTTCATATATTATTAATAATGGAATAGATAATATGTTTGGTATTTGTGATCTATCCTTATTCTACTGGTCCAGCAGTATCAGTTACAATCATAAATTCAGTTTTTCTCAACTATTTTTTAACAGGAATTCCATTTGGACATATTTTTGTAAGATATAACAGGTTACCAAAAGTTAGTTCTAGCACCATAGACTCTGACTTCAAATCCTCTTATAACTAATGTAAAGCAGGGTACTGGAGTGGCGATATTTGTGTCAAATTTTATGAGTACAAACACAAATAACGTCACTTCAGAAATCTAGCTAGTAAATAATAGAAATTTTGGCTAAATCTGAACATTAGCTTTATACTTTGATATTCTGTGGTAAGCAGAGAAGGTTGAATGTCAAATCAACCACACATATAGTCTTTCCAACCAAAATCCAGAAGCTTTTCTTCATCTTGCTAAATCTGAACTGATCTTGAATTTATGTTACTTGAAATCAATAAGTTACACTGTATTCAATAGGAGCAAAGAAGTTAATTATCAAATTAAAAAAAACATTTAAATTGTTATGAAAGAAATTTTCTTCTAAAACAAATTTTGATTTTACTTTGTCTGAAAAAGGTAAGTTTTCTAAAATTGAGGAGGCCATAAAGTGATGACGTCATGCCCCAGCATGCGTATCTTCCCAGGATGTGTTGAAAAAGTGAAAACTCAGCATTTTCTTGTCTTTATCTGATCAAACAAAACAAAATTTCTAATTATGAAATGAATGTTATTGTGTGCAGATAATAGCAGTATGCTGTATTTACGAAACGCTTCTGTTAATGCATAAAAATTCCAGGTGACATTCACTGGTAACTGACGGTAACTGGTACTCAACCAATATTATGCAACAAATTATATACAGGAATATCATTAAACTATTTCACTATGTAAGACATTGTAATACTGTAGTATTTACTCATATAAGATTTTATCTTTTCTTTAGATTTACTGTTAAGGTGGTACCTAACACTACAGGGAGATAACTCTGTAAAAATCAGCTAAACGTTTTAATCACGTTGTATTGTTAAGGAAATATTAAGCTTCTCAATGATCAAAATTAGTGTTTGTCAAACTGCTATATAACCAGTGAAATTTTTCTGATAAAGTGGTTGGTTCAAATTTTTGAAATTTTTATATTTCTGTCAAAGGGTCAAAGTAACCATTGTCACAATTTTATGAAAATTAAACGAGCCAAATTAATATTAGTCAAGGTGTTGGGTACCACCTTAATTGAACAAGACAAATAGTCTTGACCTGAGTTAACATGACACATACTGGGTAATTTCCCTATATAAATAAGAAGATGTGGTATGAGTGCCAATGAGACAACTCTCCATCCAAGTCACAATGTGTAAAATGTTAACAATTATAGGTCAAAGTAAGGCCTTCAACAGGGAGCCTTGGCTCACATCAAACAGCAAGCTATAAAGGGCCCCAACATGACTAGTGTAAAACAATTCAAACAGGAAAACCAACAGTCTAATCTATATAAAAAATGAGAAACGCTAGCATTAAATGACAAAAATGACTATATTAAAGTTAGACATTTGGGAAACCAGAAAAAGAAACATGCAGATCTTCAATCTGAATTAGAATTCAATATCACCTGATTTATATCTTACCAGATAAGGAGCTACACCCCAAGAGAACCAGAAAATCATACTAAGCATAGCTGACTTCTTTAGTATGGTCAGTTCTATGTTTCTGATAGCAGCAATCTTGTCTTTAAATGACATCTCCCAGGCATATAATTTCAGGATCTAAAAGTAAATTGTCAATTAACAGTGAGTGTTGATATAATATCAGTGTAGTGATTCAAATGATGAGTAATAATTATCTTAATCAATTAAATGAATTGATGTGAATTCAAAACACCTTTTTCATAAATAAAGGTGAAAATATGTTGTAAAATGATCAATCAACTTATCAAATGGGGTTTAGTGCTGAACTTTATTCTGTGGTGTTTGGTCATCTTGAGGGGCAAATGACCTTTTTCAATACGTTGGGATTTGGCCTTTATATTGGCGGGAATAAGGGATTGGTACTTTATTTTGAACGGAATAAGGGATTTACACCTATTGGGGCTCAAGAATTAAAGATTAATTTTTCGGGATCCAGGAAAGAATTTTTTTTTGGGGGAGGGGGGGGGGGGAATTCTGGATGACAGCCCCTTGCACCACCCCTTATCTTTGATTTCAGATCAGCACAAAATTACTTTGAGGAAGGACCATCATCTAGGACCTTAAAATTTAGAAAAAAAAATTCTTTGGAACAAATTCAAAATTTAGGAAGAGTTTCCCCTGATCAAACTTAACACAACTGGTCTTTAGGCAACTGCCTTATACTGCAGGAAAATATTTCAGTTTTATGTTATCTGCACTCCTATTGAACCCAAAATGCAGGGGAAAAAAATCATTTTTAGGGTCCCATAAAAATGGACAGCTGTTCAACTGAACCAGAAAAACTTTAAGTTTAGGGTGACATCTATCCAGCAAAATTGCTGAAGAATAAGCATTTTTGTAAAAAAATTGTTGGGGAGACTAAATTATTTTTTTAAGATGTGTTTTATTCCATATTAAGAGACTTAACTTTTATGAAACCTTGAATTCTGCACATAAATTACCTTTATACCATTCAGTACTTCTGATAGCAATTTAACTCGATTATCTTTCTGTTTCATCTGCTGTCCCTGAAGACCATGAATTTTACTCATGACAACTCCATTTACTGGAAGAAGTAATATAAGAATTCCAAATCCAGCAAAAGCAGATGCTCCGACAGTCTGATAGAGGAAGTATAAACATAAACCAATTTGTAACGGTGATGACCACAGTGCCCACAGGTAGTTAATATTATCTTGGATATGTTGTGTGTCAATGGACATCAAGTTGACAATTTCACCAACAGTTGACTCTTTTCTTGCTCCACTTGTTAATGTCAGTGCCTATAAATACATCAAATAAACAATTAACAAGTATGAAACAAACACAGCCTCCAGTTTTAATCCTATGAAATCAAAAAGTAGCTGACTCTCATTTGGAACATTTGGAAATTTTGATTCAAAGAGAGCTGAAGTGTATTCAAACAAGGGGAGACAATCAATTTTGCATGTGATTAGACTAACCAGCATTTTGTATCCTGTTGATCTGATCATACATTGTAGTATTGGAAACCAATCATTATAAGGTTTTTCATTTCAGAAAGTGCTTTATTTTTCTGTAGTTGTTTAAATACTGTTTTTCCTAATTTAGATTTACCTTATTTTACTGTATCTGTTTATGGAACAAATAGTTTGATCAAACTTTTCTGAACCAAAACTTACAACCACATGTATTTCTTTTAAGTCAAGTTTAATAAAACAACATATTTTACAATAACAACATCTATTTTTATCTCCATGAGGGAACAGACAGAATAGGAATATCCAAAATGAATGAATTGCCAAAAGACACCTAGTCTATAAGCATGCCATTGGTGCAGACATTTAATCCAAGTGGGGATTTTTGACAGGTGTGAAAAGCTTCGATGTCACATTTTACACTGTTAATAAAATTTTCAGTCTTGTAAAATTTTGACTCTTCAAAAATTGATTAAAACAAATCAATAATTACTGTGTTTCAATGTTAAGAGACCAGAAATATTTTATAACTTGCAAGTTTTGAGTCAACGGAGTTCGAGAGAATGAGAGTCAAATGTATAAGTCTTAGAAGTATGGTGTAATTTAAATTATCTGCTAAAGGCAGCAATTATCCTGTTTGATATAATTATTATTCAATCAGAAATTGAGAGTGATATTTGTTAACTCTATATCAACACATACAACATATCCATTTCAAATATATTTAAAAATGAATCCTTAGTTTCAAGATTAGAATTAAAATTACATCTCAAGGATATCAAAGATAGATATAAGAAGATGTGGTATGAGTGCCAATGAGACAACTCTCCATCCAATTCACAATTTGTAAAAGTAAACCATTATAGGTCAAAGTACGACCTTCAACACAGAGCCTTGGCTCACACAGAACAGCAATCTGAATACGGATATATACTTCAGATATCAGAATGCGAGTTCTTAATATTGCGATACTCAACCAGTCGCAATATTGGCATTAATAAAAACTTCGCAATAATTTCTGTATTTACAGTACTCGACAAGGAAGAACCATAACAATATAAAGAAAACAAGTTATTTGTCCAGCTGTTACTTGTACAATAGTTGACTGACTGTAGGATAAAAAAATTTAGTAGTATTGTTTTCAAAATTAAACAGTAAACAAACAATTGGTTTTTGGTTGATAGTTGTCTCATTGACAATCATACCACATCTCTTTATTTTTATATTCAATTATCTGTATAGAAAAACCTCAAATCATCATTGCCTTGAACCTTACCCTTTCACTAGATAACTTCATTAATAAACACTTAAATATACTCTCTTTTACTATCCCCATCAGATCAGAGACCTAATATTATTTTTATTTTCATGTTCAGCCTTTGTCAATAAACAGGTCATTCAAAAGGAACTTAAGGTTTTAATAAGATAGTACTTTACCCATATTTTAATTCAGATATTGGCAAATGGTTGATCAGTAATAAAAAAAAATAAAATTTAAGTCAATATAAGTTACATCTACAGGAAGATAATCTTACAAAATCATCTTAAATAAAAGGTAAACAGGTGTTATAATCCTCATTAATTAATACATCATAGTTTTGATGCTAACCTTTCTGTAAACCGCTGCCATCAATGCAGCCTTGACCCTGATTCCTAAAGTCATCCCCCAGTAGAACTGTTGATGGGATGCTAGGGACTGGATGAGGATAGTCACAAAGAAACCTGCTGCTAGCATATATCCTTTCCAATTTTGTGAGAATTCTGATGAATCCGATTCTGTTGAACCTTTACAAAAGGCAATTAAAAATCTAGAAAAAACACAAACAGCAAATAGTTATAACATGTACAGACATGTAGCTGTCCTATCTCTACTATTATTTTTCTTTCAATACAACATTTCAACTTGTAAAAACAGTTCCTGATAATTAGAAAAAATCCCATTTCAAATGCCAACAGTATTTACTGGTATCTTCAAGTATTATGATAGATACAGAAACATAAGGTCAAAAGATTAAACAATTTAAAATGTGTTAAAACAAGAATATGTGTTCATTGGACGCCTTGCACAACTGAGTCACAACTTTAATTTAGCCTATATTTTAAAAAGTTCACATCAAAACAAACAAGTGGGCTAATTTTCAAGTTGAAATTACCCTGACTTCAAGGTAAACTATATTAAACCAACACTTTAACCTAAGAATGTACTGATTTCACTCTACAACTTTTTCAGGTTCAGTGAACAACAAAATATGAGTCAAAACTCTAATATGAAATATATTTTTCAAAGTTAACATCATAATGAATATGTGTACTAAGTTTAAAGCTAATGTGATCACAACTTAAAGGTAAATTAAACTGCCTTAAACCAATACTTTAACCTGCTATAGGACAGAAAAAAGAACTAAAGGATGGAAGTACAGACCAAAAAACAGTATGATTCCTTTTATCATAGATAAGGCATAAATACATTTACTTAGTTTTGACAATTATCTATGAGTGGAAAATGAAATTAACATACCTCAGAAGTATAGGTGAAATGAAAATAGTTATATCATAGATCAATTTGAAAACATGTGCATGCAGTAGTTCTAGACCAAAGGTTTTGGCAAGTGCTCTGAACAAGGATCGTTTCTTCTCTTTAGTATTTGGATCTTTTATCACTGGCTTAGGAGCAAGTAATGGTGTAGACTCAGACATGTCGTCTTGCAGATTGTATCTACAGGATGATCCAGACCGGCCAAGCCTGCAAAAATCTTTTTTTTTCAAATTTGGCCCAGAATATATAAACAATGAATATTTAATATACTTTGCAGTGTTTTTAAATTTAGGTATGTATTCATGGGCCTGAGGCCTGTAGCTTTCCTGAAGAGTCCATTACATTGATGAAAATTATTATTTAAAATGCCAGCCTATCCATAACAAAAGGAAATTCTATAGAAGATAATTGCAATACAAATTTAATGCCTTTTTTCAATCATCTGACAGTAACAAGTGACATGTTGAATACAGATAAATATTTCATACATTAAAGCTGTAAAAATTCTGTACCTGGAGGAACAGTTTTGTGATTTTTTTGTATTCTACAGTTATGCTGATTGTAGCTGAATGCTACTGCTCAACATTTTATAAATGAACATTTTCAATTTTTTTTCTCTCTACACTCAGGGAGTATATTTTCTAATATAACAAGAAATTTCAACAAAAAAAAACATGCAAAATGTTTCTTATAATTTACCTGGACACACTGCCACGTTCTTTATCCCAATTCTTTAAAAATCTATTGTAAGCCACCTTACACATGTCTCTCTCGTTTAACTTAAACATTTCATCTTCATTTAAAGGTTTTCTATAGCCTTGTATCATTAAACTGTAAGAAAAACAAGAACAAAAAACATTTTATCATAACTTGTTTTCTTACAACAAACAAAATCTGTTAAAAATTTTTATAAAAATTTTTTTTTTTCTTTAGTTTTTCTGAACAAAATAAATGTCTGAAGCAAATTATTTATGAAAATAAAGTGTTGAATAATTGATAAGTAGCTTTTTTCAAATTATTTTTTGTGTCTTTTGTCAAATTTGCAATTAATGCTAATTAACACGACCCATATTGTAGTCTACTGACCTTGTTATCCAGTTAAAAGTAATTCTAGATAAAAAAGAGGCCTTTTGTTCTGGACACACATCCTGTGGTTAAAATAAAAACAGTATAAATTCAATATTTTTATATTTGATTGATTGATTGATTGATTGCTTATTCATCAAAGTGATCTTTTCAAAACATCAACACTTGTTTGTATAATTCTAAAAGGATTTTCCCTGAAAAGTTTTCATGATTCATTGTGCCATTCCACACTACATGTACCTTAAAATAATCTGCCAGAAGAGAAATAAGGTATTTAAATATTACATTTTTTTTACATGAAACTTAAATCTTGCAGTAGATATTTTCATATCTTTGACACTGTTTTTTGGGGAAAACAAAATTTTGCCGAGACATATTCTGCAGGCCATATGTCCACCTAATTCAACAGGCATTGACATATATCATTAAAAGGTTTACTTAATCTCTATGAAAAAATGAAATTATAAAACATACCCTGTTATGTGGTAATTTTTCTGCTATACTATGTAAAATCCATTCTATTACCCAAAGCCAAAATCCAAAATATACATATATCTTTAAAAATATTGTATCTTCTGCTTTATCCTGTAAAAAATAACATTTAGTATATAGATCAATCTGGTCTGGACTTAAAAATTTGCATTGGCTTTCCATATGGGAACTTGTATATTAATCAGTAACAGTAGACGTCATAAATAAAGCTCTTGGAAAACACATTATCAACGTCACAAACAAGATGACATACTATCAGTGACTGTATATCACAAATAAATATATGGTCAATGCAATTTGACTGTGCAAATAGCACAGTTGCAGTTTAAATGTTGATCTCAAGGAATTTTTATTCACAAAACTGAAAAATGTTAACTACCTAAAAAAGACATAAAAATACATCTTTCAGAGCACAAGATAATTTCAAGTACAACATGTATTACCTGTTCTTTCATGAAACTGAGGAGCACAACTTGTTCCCATTAGTTCCAATTAGAATTTATTTTATGAACATTAAATAATACATTTAAGAGGAGTAACAAAAGTAATACTGAAATGGGTCAAATTTTCAAATCAAATAGCATAATTCTGAAAAAAATTGTCATGAATGTGATAGGTCCCTATTTCAAACCATTATCATGCTAAGTTAGAAGAAAGTCAGATAAAAAGTTGCTCTAGATAGAAAGATAAACAAACAAAGTCCTGTACATTCTTCCATGCTTTGCTTTGATTAATATTATCAATGACTTCGAACACTTGCGGAAATCTCAGGAAAATATTGATGTTATTTACGAAAATTTATGCATCAAGATAATCATTGAAATGACTGATAAAATCCCACAATATTGTTTAAAAAAAAATTATACCATAGGAAATCATAGATGAAAACAGGAATTTTACTAGATCTGAACAAGAAGTTTTTGAAAGATGGCATTGTGATTTTGAAAATTTATACAATGGCATGTCAAGTGATGAATTTGATTCAGAACACTATATTCTAGCAAAAGTACACAAAATCTTATTACAGGCAAATATGGAAGACCCCTTGTATATGTCAAACAATCTTTTGAATGTTAACATATCAAGAAATGAAATAAATTCTATGGTAATGCAAGCAAAACTAAGATCTGCAAGTGGATATGATGAAATACCATACAATGTTTTAAAATATCCTGTAGTTATTGACACATTACACAAACTTTTTCAACTGATTTTGACACAAGTTTAATTCTGTCCACCTGGAGAGTCCATAACTTGTCCAATTATTTTTACTTTAAACAGTATTGTGAGAAACAATCCAAATGCATTCATTGATTTAAAAAAGTCAATGCATATTCCTGTGTGCAGATTAACAACAAGCTGACAAATTTGTTTGGCTGTTAAATCTTGCCTAAAAGAAGATGATAACGTTTCCCTGACGCTTTCCTATATCTTCATCAACGATCTCGTTAAAAGAGTTAATGATTTGAATTTAGGATTTGATATTAATGGAAAACAGCTTTTGATTAGTTAAAGTTAGGACGAACTTCAACAAATGTTAAACGTGATTCATAGTTGGTGTAAACGATGGAGGGTTCTGATCAACAGGGACAAATCTAAGTGCGTACATTTTTGTAAAGGACGTAAAAAGCAGAGTGAATTTGAGTTTTCAATCGGCCATAATGCATTCAAAATGGTGGACAATTACAAATACTTATTTGTAACTTTTAACTCTACAGGTATCTTTCAATTACAGGCAGAGACTTTGGCTAAAGGTGCAGGAAGCCTTAGGAAAATTCATCTCGAAAATCCATACTTTAAAGAATTTTGGATTTCAATCTTTTGAAAAACTTTTTATATCATGTGTTGCTCCTATCCTTGACTATGCATCTAGAATATGGGGAAATCGGGAGTTCCAAGCAATAGATAATGTACAGAACAGAGCAATCCGGTATTTCTTGGGCATACACAGATTTTAGCACTGTATAGGGATACTGGGTAGATAACAAGTCAGTTTCGGCATTGGGTAAACATCATTCACTATTGGAATAGGCTGATAATGTTTGAAACCAATCGAATAACAAAAGTGGTGTTTAACATGGATTGCATATGTTGCACAAACAATTGGTGTAGTGACATTAAAGATATTTTCCATGAACTTAATATGTCACATTATTACGGAAGTAGATCAATGGTGGATTTTAAATCTTTTGAACAAATTGTATGATTTTTTTTTTAGGTATATGGAGAGAGTCCTTGATAATAATCCAAAGCTACGATCCTACTTAAACTTTAAAACAAACTGTGAATAAGAACACGATGTAAAACTAAATCTTTCAAAGAACGAGCGATCTGTGCTAGGCCAGTGTAGATGCAGGAAAATTACCAATCAGAATTGAGACTGGAAGATATATTGGGGAACCAGTAGAGGATAGACTGTGTTGATTTTGTAGTTCACAGAATGTTGAAAGTGCACTACATTTTCATATAAACTGTACATTTTATAATGATATCAGACAAACTGTTTGTAGCGAGATATCAGTGTTGCCTGACTAAGTGCAGTTGGACAACCAGGGTAATTTAACATTTCTAATGGTGAAAATAGCTAAATACTTAACAGAGTCACTTTTCTGTAGAAAACAAAACAGTTTACTCTAGTTAACATTCTCAAACTTTTTCAAATACTTTAGAAGAACAAGGTCTGAACTTTTACAAAGTTTCATTCTTAAATTATATGATTATCTTTCTCTCAAAATAAAATTGACAATCAACATGTGATATTGAAACATTTATATAGAACTATTGGTCCATCGGGCCGGGTGTATTTTGTATGTGGGATTATATTTTGCACATATATATATTAACTTTGATTTATACATGTCACTATAATAAACAATTACTTACTTACAAACTTGTAGGGGTTTGTTTAAGAGTTGGTCTAAAAAGTTGAAAATAAAATTAACAGGACATCGTTAAGTTTTAAAAGGCTCACAAACTATATCTGTTTCTGTTATATCATAATTATAAATGCTTATTACAATACCTTTTTCAGAAGTTTTGAGTAGAATGGAATAATTTTGGTTAATATAGCAACTGTCCAGTAAATAAACAGCACACCAGACGTCACAAAACCTTTGTATCTTTCAAATGCAATGTAGAATATCACCAGTAACTAAAAAATAAAACCAAGATTCTTTTATCTATATGTATGTTTACAGTCATCCCCAAAAATATGGTCAGTTTTAAATTATGTATTTTTTAACCCAAATGAGTAAAGTCATCACCACATTTTCATGAATTTTACAATTGAGTTCTGATTTTGATAAACTGATTTCTTGAATCTAAAATGTATTCATCCAGAACAATTGTTTGACTGACAGCCTTATCTAGAACTTGCTGGGGCTGTATGTAACTTTCTTGAGTAGAAAAATAACACTAATCTAAATCTACACAAGTATGTGAAACTTAGATCTTCCTTTATATAAATATATCAAGGAATTGAGAAGATCTTGAAAATAAATCGATACGAAGTTGGCTAGAGAGAATTTAATGCCAAATAAAGTATGCACGAAAATAAGTTGGTTTACAGTATATAAATGAACTTACAATTGTGACTGCCTCAATCACAGGCCCAACTAAGGATGCTTTCCAATATGATGATGATTCTTTCAGGTCAATAGCAGCATAAACAACATTGATTGTTGTCAGTATCAACATAATTAGTGCAAATATCTATATGGATATAAAGAAAATAGTAAATATACATACAATCACACTTTGTTTGGTAATATAAATAAGCACATATTCACTAACATTATGTGGCTTTTCATAACACTTTGACATTGTTAGTTGCAAAGTTTCATGGATTTATTACTGTGACTTGATTGTAAGTGTTTCTCTGTTCAGTTGGTTAAAACTTCTAACCAGTTGAACAGTTTGGTTTGATGAAACAAATAGCAATTGGGTCAGAATTTTGGAAAAACTGCAATAAGTGGAGAAAAACACTTACAATCAAGTCTCTGCAGTAGGAAATTAAACTTTAATTAATGTTTTTTCTATAAAAATGCATGAACATTTGATCCAAAAGTATATATAGTAATAGAAATATTAGAAATAAATGTAAAAACACAAGAGCCAATTAATATGGGGTAAATGTACATATGATCACATTCATAAGTTAAACCGTATATAGGGTATTTTTTGCGTGTGTCTAATTTTTGCCTTGTTCAAGACAGCTAAAGAAACGCGAAAAATTTGACCCCGCGTAAATTTCACTGCGTATTCCCAGATTTATCATTGTTTGAATGTTTCATATATTATACTGTTGATTGTCAAGTCTTTTGTGTTGTTTGGTAGATCACAAGAAAGTGTATACTTAATTAAGATCTCTGTTTATATAATAATTAAAATTACTAATCAAATATGGCACACCTTTTGACAACACAGCAATCAGTGACAGGTTAAAATATGTTAATTAGCAACAATCTATTGATTGATGTTATATTAACACGAATATTTTGCATCTGATGTAACAATTAAAATCAAAATAAATGACATTTACAAGGATATTTGTTTATCTGTAATGATCAAAACCTTTAATTTTCAGCATGCCCCAATGTCTGTACATATTTTATGTTCCTTGAAAGTTCACTGAATTATGTGTATGTTTGTTTGTAGTACTCATATTTATTTGCAATCGATTGATTACCTGTCAGTCAATCAAGTTAATGTTGTTTACATTTTTAACAATACAATACAATTATTTTTTCGGGTGTATTTTTCCATTCCGCGAAAATTATACAAAGTGAAAATTTAACCTGCCCATTTTGCCATCAAATCACGAAAAAAAGCCGACGCAAAAAAAAACCCGATATACAGTACTAGGGGTATAAGTAAACATGAAGATTGTAACATGGTAATCAATGTCTCACACAAATCAGCTGAAATATTGGAAATATACAGAGAGAATAACATATGGCTTTTTCAATATCACATCTGTATCAACCCAAGGTACCCATATACTCTGCTCAAGGGATTATTTTGGTTGAGGGTTGATACTGTGTGTGATATTGAAAAAGCCATATCATATACAGTTATTAAATATCTCAAGTACACATGTTGATGTTTTTCACCTTTGATAAAGCCTTTGCCACTGTGACTGATATTGATGACATGATGCCATACAAATTAGGGGTTTGATAAAGACTTTGCCACTGTGACTGATATTGATGACATGATGTCATACAAATTAGGAGTTTGATAAAGACTTTGCCACTGTGACTGATATTGATGACATGATGTCATACAAATTAGGAGTTTGATAAAGACTTTGCCACTGTGACTGATATTGATGACATGATGTCATACAAATTAGGAGTTTGATAAAGACTTTGCCACTGTGACTGATATTGATGACATGATGTCATACAAATTAGGGGTTTGATAAAGACTTTGCCACTGTGACTGATATTGATGACATGATGTCATACAAATTAGGGGTTTGATAAAGACTTTGCCACTGTGACTGATATTGATGACATGATGTCATACAAATTAGGAGTTTGATAAAGACTTTGCCACTGTGACTGATATTGATGACATGATGTCATACAAATTAGTGGTTTGATAAAGACTTTGCCACTGTGACTGATATTGATGACATGATGTCATACAAATTAGGGGTTTGATAAAGACTTTGCCACTGTGACTGATATAAATGACATGATGTCATACAAATTAGGGGTTTGATAAAGACTTTTCAATTGTGACTGATATCAATTTCATCATGGATGGCTGATATGGCATGATTGCTATTGATTATATTAAACACACAGTTTACTTGTACTTATTACTAAGTATATACTAAATCTATATAATAAATTGCATTAAAATTCCTTATAAATCTTATCATGAAATGGCTTCCAAGATTAGTTTCAATATATTTTACAATATCAAAGGAAATGTATCCCATAAACATTTATTTTCAAACTCTACTCAGATATCAATTATATAAATTTAAAACAAAGATTTTTCTGAAACTCATTTACAACTACAAGCTTTTTTTTGTTTTTGGGGAATATTTTTATTTTGCCTTACATTACAACTTCATTGTAACTATAACCCAATTTATTTCAATCACTAGGCACAATCAAGTATTTATTGCAAGACTTGACAATGAAAACTAGGGTGGAATGTATAATCTTTGAAGTACTGAAAACTATACTTCCAGGAGCAATTCAATCAATTGAACTAATGATTAATTTGAAACAAAAACTCTGCTTAAAGAGAAATTTTATTACTAAGAAATAATTCAACCATAAGATACAGTCTCCTGGACAATGCAAATTACATTGTTTCTTCTCATTGACAATGTAAATTACATTGTTTCTTCTGTTGGACAATGCAAATTACATTGTGTCTTTTCATTGACAATGCAAATTACATTGTTTTTTTCTCATTGACAATGCAAATTACATTGTTTCTTCTCAATGACAATGCAAATTACATTGTTTTTTCTCATAGACATGGCAAATCACATTGTGTCTTCTCATTGACAATGCAAATTATATTGTTTCTGCTCATTGACAATGCAAATTACATTGTGTCTGCAAATTACATCTTTCTTCTCAATGACATGGACAATGTGAATTAAATTGTTTCCCAATAAATTATTGTTTCATTATTCAAGGTTCAATAAGAGGTTATCTTTTCAAACAGTAATTAAATGCATGATTTTTATCATTAACAAATTTTTGCTATTTTTTTCCAAATTGACATTTATGCACTATAATGTAGTACAAATGTATTAAAATCCAAATAAAATAATCATACAAACCATCTTAAGGTAAGTGACACTTGACCATTTTCCTCTGACAGACTTTGTTGTTAGAAGATATCTGAGATAAAATGGAGTAGCTAACCACAACCATCCACTTGGTACCCAGATCAACACAGTATCCTGGAAACATTGTGTAAACTCTGGCCATGTTCCCCTCCAGGCCAAGTTCAGATCCTACAACACACAAGAGAATTCAAGAAGTCTTTTTTGTCTTGATCTTATTGAAGATGTTAGATCAGACTTTATCTTCAATTTTAAACTTGAACAAATTATATTTTCTCTCTTAAAATTAATGAAATTCCCACGCTTGCAACATATAAATAACGAGGAGCTTATTCTAACACTGCATACAAAATACTAGTAAGCATTACTGTAATTAGTTAAATTAGTATATCTCCATTCATATGTCATAAAATTGAGGTCTCTAAAACAATGCAAATGCTAACTGATTGTAAACATTTTTTGTTAACTGAAAACCACAAATAAGTATTCATTATAAAAAGAAGGAGATGTGGTATGATTGCCAATGAGACAACTATCCAACAAAGTTAGAATGAAGTGGATGTTGGCAATAATAGGCAACCGTACAGCCTTCAACAATTCATATATAGATTACAATGAATTATGGGTTTTTCTTATTGTTAAAGGCCATATGGGACCTGTAGTTTTTCTCATCCTAATTCTTTATTCTTTAGTTGATAGCCTTTCATTGGCATTCATATATGCCATACCATATCTCCTTATTTTTATGTATAAACTGCAATCAATTTGCAAAAAAAATCCATAATTTTAAAACAATTTTATCTTAAGTTTTCTTATATATATATAACTACTCTAAATATCAGCACAACAATGTTAAATCAGCAAATTTTTGTTCTTCTCTCGCCTGGATTCAAATATATATGTACCGAGTTTTTGTTTATTTATTATGAAATTTACAAATACCTCTCAACCAGCCTAGCGTTTTAAATTTTTAAATTCAGCTGTCTCGAGTGGAGAAATATTGTATCACACTCAATGCAGTGATAGAATCTATATATATGTAATTTTTGCATTTATCAGTTTTGTGAACCGTGAGTGTTCTTTCAAATCTAAACTTTACAACAAACCAGAGATGTATCATAACTTAAGATTTCAATATTGCATAATTCTGTCAGAGACATACTTTTTAAGAATTGCCCCTGCTGAACTGCGTTGACAGCAGGGAATTCAATCTTGCAATTCATGTTCTATAAATGCTTTCCAGATGTGTTGTCATGAAAATATGACAACCGTGAAGCCCTTCTTGGAGTTAAAAATCAGAAAAATGTGAAAAGTAGCCAAAATCAGGTGGGGTGGGAGTCATTTGATGGCCACTACATTAATGGTAGAAACAGCAAGTTTAAACTGTTATCCTAAATGCATGCATAGGTAGTTCTGGAACATGAGGTATTATATGGCCCAAAAAATCTGGTCTGTAAAACCTAGTTCACTGCTTTGTCAGTAATCTGTAAAAACAGATATTTTGGCAGACCTTGCTTGCCATTAAATATTCCACAGCAATACAATCAAGTCACATTTACTTCCAGTCAGCATGGATGGGTTGCTTTAACTACAAGGTGATAATTGAATGAAAAAAAAACACAGTTTGGTTAATGTTCACCTCTGAAAGTCATATTAAAATCGAAAAATAGATTGAAAATGACCATTTTGTAGCTGCGGTTGGTTCCATCCTACCTACTAATCTGCCACCTCGTCCCCTTCATTGGCTTCAACCTCCCATGCCATCCACCCCAAATCTCGAAGCATAGTTTGAAAGATCAGCATCAGTTACAGTATCAAGAGTCAACTAATTAGCATATAATTTGCAAAAATTCTATTTTTTTTAAAATGCCTGATATTCCAGAAATATTATTCGGTTGAATCAGCTGACTTTTTGTTATATTCATATTCATGATTAGAAAAGGTAAAGAATAATAGTTCTTAAAAATAAAACTCTACAACTTTCTAGATCCCAAAAGTTCCTCCAATGTTTCCACTAATTATTCAATTGTGAAGTGAAGTGCCATCAGCTTCTATATTGATAGGTTTCGATAAGATGTACTTTGAGTTGGAGTTATTTTCATTGACTGCCAAATTGGAGGTGAAACTAGTTGATTTTCTTATTTGACTAACCAAATTAAACATGTACTACAAGCAAGTTTGAGGATTATTAATCATTAATGGATCGTTATGATAAATTATGCAAGGCTCAGAAAAAAATTTAATTATTAAAAAAAAAGTTTTTTCTAAAGTATTGCAGTCAGTATAACAAGTTTGTCTTGGATGATTTATGGTTTATGTCATCTAAATCTATTGTAAATTTAAACACATATTTAAATAAAGACTAAAAAATTGTTATTTTAAAAATGGTGTAAAGAAAATGATATGAGGATTTTAAATTAAAAGAAATCAAAGTGCATGCTTGTCATGTCAGAGAGAAAACTGGAAAACTGCAATGAATGTTTCTGTGTTTTATCACAATATAGTATCTCTTCAGATAATGTAGAAGTTTTTAGAATTTATATTCATAAAAATATATCATGGTCAAATCAAATTGATAAAATATGCGAAGCTTTTTCAAGCCGAATATACTTGTTAAACATGTTAAATAGGTTGAAAAATTATTTTACCATTAAAGGGTCTTATTTTTTTTACAATAGCTATATATTCCCCATAGTTGACTAATGCTGTAGTTTATGAGGCCTTACTGTAATCTGAAAAGGATTCATAAGCTCAAACAAAGAGCTGAATGATTTAATTCTAAGTGTTTCTTTACGTAATAAAGGTGGCTAAAAAATTATCTCCCTTTGGAATTTTTTTTTTTAATTTTCACTTTCTTCCATATTATTTGGAAGTGAAATGTAAAACTAAAATTTGCATATACTGACTATAAGTTTACAATAATTGTTTACTTTTCAATGAAAAAATATCTCCCAAAACTCATCATTGTCATGATAAAAGTTGAAATTTGTTTACACAAAAATATTTGACTAAGGCCCTATACTTGTATAATCTCTTAAAATATAACGCCTGTAAAGTTTTAGATTGCCCTTCCATCAATATGGCAGTTAGAATCGAAAGTTTTAATAAAAATCTTCAAAAGGGATGTATTTTTTATAGCCTGATTGTGCTTAAGGTTCATCATAACAAACGTACAAAAATGGCTTTATTTACATCTCAAAAACTACTCTGAGTACAGACTAACCTGTACAGTTGGAAAAGTTTTAAGGCCTGGCATCCACGAGATATATAAAAGTTAATTGCATTTTGTGTTTCAGAAAGATAAAATCTTTTTTGGATTTTGATGGGCATTTTTTTTCATTCCTGCAAAAGGTGTAAAAATAAAATAAGTTGGGATAAAACTTTGAGATGCTCCCTCTCAGGTAACAACTTATTGTATTGTATTGATAGACCTTGATTGGCATGGTCAATAGATATCTACACAACTGTAGGTGAGTTAAAGGTTGAAATTGAGTGGACAGTATTAAATGAAATTCAGGTATTTGTTTTTATTTTTACACCTTCTGCTGGAACGAAAAAAATGCCCATTAAATCCAAAAAAGATTTTATCTTTCTGAAACACAAAATGCATTTAACTTTTATATATCTAGTGGATGCCAGGCCTTAAACTTTACAGACTGGGCAGGTAAGTCTGTACTCAGAGTAGTTTTTTAGTTGTAAATACAGCCATTTTTGTCCATTTGTTATGATGAACCTTAATACCATGTTATACATTTATTTCCCGTGCCGGAGGGAGATATGAAGATTTGTTCACCCAAGAATATTCATATTTCACGAGGGCTCTGCCCGAGGGAAATATGATTTTTCGAGGGTGAACAAATCTTCATATCTCCTGAGGCAAAGGGAAATGAATGTTTTATTCCACTGCCTATCTTTGTTTACTATCAATACATTAAATATTATTTTGCATACATTTTTTTTCTTATCCGCTTGTTTTTGTAAGTCAAACTAAACACGACATACCCATTGATAAACAGTAAGGATCAAAATTTAATTATAAGTTTTTTTGTTTTATCGTCTGAAATAAATTTGAACATGTTCACGAGTTTAGCTATCGCTATTTTAAGAAGAATAAGAAGTTCAAAACGTTATGTACATTAACCGCGCGTAACGTCGCACGAAGTAATCCCGACATTTCAGAGGGGAATATGATCCTCAGAATGGAATATGAAGATTTGTTCAATGACACGTGGGATAGTCTCAACCAATCAAATATTGATTAAACTATCAATATGTTTAAACAGTGGAATAATATAAGTTATGTTCAACCTGCAGATATGCAGAACCTGTTAAAACAGTCAGTCTTACCCAAATCGGCGTATTATTACAAAATTCGTTCATTTCAACAGAGACTTATACAATATGTCTCTGAATTGGTCCCTCTGATTCAATACTACACGGTAAACCGTTACATCCTTGATTGAGCACTTTTCATAGAAGTCCTATTTTATGACATTTGGATTGTGTATGGCAAGCCGTGTTTATATTTATTCAACGTTTAAGATATCTCATACACTTTTAATTATAAGATATCTTTATCTTCAAATTTTATGAGGTATCATATAGTATTACATATTATTTCCTTTATAAGAAGTCTTTCAAAGAAAAGAAGATTGCTTTTAAACCTCGGATAGTTCGGAAATAATAAAGGATCCACACAGACGCTAATATAAGGAAAATTATAAACTGACTTTTTTTAAATGCGCTGCTTGAAGGGAGCGATCATTGTTGTTTCGGTTTTTTTTTTTTTACATTATTATAATATTTTATGTAAGAAGGTTACCATTAATTCAAATAGTCAAGTTAGCAGAGAAAGATTAAACCATTGTTAGAGCTAAGTTCCTAATGCTTGTCGAGTGAGACTTTGGTTGGCTTGCTTGCTTTGTTTGTATAAACGTTTGCATTAATTGTAGTTAAGATTGACATCTGCAACCAATATAAATAACCGAAGTTAAACCTGTATACACAACACTTAAATTTGATTGAATGTTATCCTGGAGGTTAGGAATCTGTATATAATGTACAGAGGCGGATTTAGGGGGGCAGGGGCGGATCCAGCCATTTATAGAAGGGGGGTCCTAACCCAGGATAAAAAGGGGGGTTCCAACTATATGTCCCCATTCAAATGCATTGATCGTCAAAAAAAAGCAGGGTTCCAACCCCCGGAACCCCCTGGATCCGCCCTTTTGTGGGAAACATTTGGTTGATTATATAGGAAATCACTGGCCAAATTTCTCGATATTTCTACGCCAATAGCCGACCTTCATTTCTCATTATTTCAATTTTCTTTTCTAATAAACAGGGCAGCAGAAAATAAATTAACTTCTACCTATTATCTATGTACATCTTTATTTACTTCCTTTTAATCTATAGGGGGCTAATACAAAGAAGAAGAAGAAGAAGAATTTTATACGATAGCATGTCCAAGGCTCGAGGTCCAAGGCAGTACTGGTTTACTGATCTCTCTCATTTTCTTGCACACAGACGTTGCATCTTCCCTTGAGACCAGACGTTCTTTCTCAACACAAGGAAAATGGGCTGTGTTAGGGGTTGGAGATATTACATCTGCATGCATGGTTGCAATCAGATCATCCGTTAGACTGTGGCAGCAAGGATTTCTGAAAAAAGCAACCAAGCATATCTCAGGTGCAGTCAGACAATCTTGGTGTTTGCCAAGGAAACGTTATCCATTTAGAATTCTGTTCAACAGTTACTTGATTTTTTTTTTTCTGTTTTTATTTTAATGATATTATAAGATTATACACCTACTAGGACTATCAAAGGTTACAGGTCAGCTATATATCTAAAACAATTCATCGTTCTCAAAGAAGGTCTTGAGTTCACTGTTTTAATCATTCTAAAAAATACTTTCATCTCTTATCTCTACTTTTACCCAAGTTTCCTTTTCTTCGGTTGCTTTTATTGAAAACCTGTTATTTGTTATCCTCTGACATTGACCAAATTATAAATTTATGTCCAATCATTATTGTTTTCTACCCCAGGCATATATAGCAATATCCGTATTTGGCACTATTTTCGGATTTTTAGGTTTTCAATGCTCTAACTTTGTTTTTGATTTGACCTTTTAACTGTTTTGATTCGAGCACCACTGATGCGTTTTATCTAGACTAAAAGCTCGCCTGACTTAACAAAGTGTATTTTGCTTGACGAGTTTTCACGCCTTGAATTCGACCAAAGTTTCAAATTGTGTCTTGCCACTTTGATTTGTCTCTTCCTAATCGATTTACGAGATTTGAACATCGCTAAACTACTGTCGCCTTAATTTGATAACTAAGATGATACACAATTTAGCAAAATATTAGACATAGTCCTAAAAGAAATTGATATTTTTTATCATTTAAAAAAAAATTACATAAGTATCGAAAATGTTTTTCATTCTGATTCAAATGTTTCAAAAGCAGGGCAAATTTTCCTACCTTTGAAAAGTTAAGTTCTGAACAATTATATAAACAATTTGTCATAATAAAATTAGACGGGGAATGTTCAAATATAGCAAGTAATAATATTATCGGTATTTTTCGACAATTCATTCATTTCTCTTCAGTGATGCTCGAGGCCAAAATGTTCAAGTTGAAAATCCAAAACCTAATAGAAATGTTGAAGAGCAGATTAAAACAAAATTACCTCAAGTATAGCTAAATCCCGACAATGATTCAGGGCTTTTCATGAAGGGGACTTAAGCAATCTAACGTTTTAGATTACGATGAGACGTTGAATATATTCAACAGCAAAATCGTACCCCTTTAGATATAACGATATAAGTTATTGCATATTAAAGTATATGCGACTGCTTAGGTATTCGTGGACTATACATCTAAGTCAACACATTAACCAGTTAACAGACGTTGACATACGGAAAAGAAGAAGAATAAAAAAAAATCTCTAGTACTTATATCGTATTATCAAGTTCAAAGTTCAAGGTGAACAAAGATAGAACTATGGTTTCGTTTTGTCTTAAGTCCGAGATATCGAAAACTGACGAAAATAAAGTATAAAATCCTAGATATTTAAAAAAAAAAACGAGCGATAACGATTTTCGAAGGCATCACTACGGTTTCTTTAATGAATTTACATCAAGTACACTCGAGACAAAAACAAATTGGAAAGCAAAGAATATAAAACGTTTGAAAGGAAGGAGTAACAAACTGTTTTGTTCCCTCAGTTTTTGTTTGTTACCTTGATTTGTCACTTTGTTTATTTGATCATTCACATAATTTATTTACAGCCAAATATATCATCTAAATGTTGTCAGTACCAAAACACTGACTTCTGGTAGGATGGTACACCAGGGGACCGATATCCCACCAGTAGTGACACCAGCCTATCAATGGTACAACGGTGTAAAACACATATATCAAGCAGAAATTCATATCTTATTAGTTGAAACACTTTATAAATTTCGTGCGTCCGAAACGCTTTTCTGGATGTACCTTCATTGGAAACGCTCTATACATTTAAAAACCAGGGATGTATATAACAACTATTATAAAATTCCCTGTTGATAAATTAAGAAATTATAAAGTTCCAACTCCTTCAGGCAAAGTTTACCTTATATGAATTTGGCTATTTTTTTATGTCCGTTTTTGTCATATAGCTCCTAACGTTTTACGTTTTATATCATACCAATGCCGAAGAGCTGACTACTGAATGATATACTCGCGATATAACAGTCCGTCAACAGCGGTTATAACCCCGTGATAGTAAAGGAAAATAACACTTTATAAATTTCGTGCACTCGACGCACTTTTCTGAATTTAGCTTCATCAGGAACCCTCAAACCAAAACATTTGAAAGTCAGGGATGTAGGAGTACGTAGAAACATTAGGAGATATATGGCCAAAAGGATTATCTTTTCTTAACCACAGAACAAAAATATGTCTGTTTTTACTATTACACTGACTTACAAACTTAATTTTTCGGGTATTTCAGTGCATGATGGAATGTTAAATCACAAAAAAAAACGGTTAGAAATTGAAAACACCATTTTACCAATATCAATGAGTGGCCGGTATAAAGATTGAAACAACAAAAGCAGTCTACACTTGACACGAGTATTCTTCATTCCAAACTAAAAGACAAATTGAAAGAGTTGGTCCTGCTTTGTTTCAGAAAAAGAATGACCAACGAAGATACAAGTATCTTGTACAAGTATCTTGTCTTAGGGAGGGATAAATCCTACTTTGTAAAAAACATCACTCTGATTCTAACAAAAAATTCTCTGAAACTGACATTATCAAGATGCTTGATTTCTTGATTGACAACATATTTGTTACGTTTGGAGGATGTGTTTTTCAACAAACAATCGGCATTCCCATGGGAACCAACTGTGCCCCTCTTCTTGCCGACTTGTTCCTTTATTCATATGAGGTTGACTTCATACAGGAACTTCTTAGGAAAAAAGAAAAGAAGTTATCCTTTAACTTTACTTTCCGCTACATAGATGATGTTCTCTCACTAAATAATTCAAAATTTGGTGACTATGATGAACGCATCTATCCCATCGAACTTGAGATAAAGGATACAACAGATACAGCTAAATATGCCTCTTTTCTCGACTTACATCTAGAAATTGACAATGAGGGTCGGTTGAAAACAAAACTTTATGACGAAAGAGACGATTTTAGCTTCCCACTTGTGAACTTTCCATTTTTATGTAGCAACATTCCAGCAGCGCCTGCATATGGAGTATATATCTCCCAGTTTATACGATACTCCAGGGCTTGTATTTCCTATGATGATTTCCTTGATAGAGGGTTGCTGCTCACAAGGTAGCTTTTAAACCAATAGTTCCAAGTGGTGAAGTTGAAATCATCCCTTCGTAAATTTTACGGACGCCATCACGAGTTGGTTGACCGTTACGGAATATCCGTTTCACAGATGATAGCAGATATATTCTTTAAGTCGTAACTACAATCCTGTCCCCTTTTCCCGAATGTGACCTACCGATTAAGACTTATTACCGGGTTTGTACTAACATGAGCAACACGACGGGTGCCACATGTGGAGCAGGATCTGCCTACCCTTCCGGAGCACCTGAGATCATCCACAGTTTTTGGTGGGGTTTGTGTTGCTCAGTATTTAGTTTTTTATGTTGTGTTTTGTGTACTATTGTTTGTCTGTTGGTCTTTTTCTTTTTTAGCCATGGCGTTGTCAATTTATTTTCGACTTATGAGTTTGAATGTCCCTTTGGTATCTTTCGACTCTCTTTTTCTAACTACACAGAAAAACTAAAGATTGAAAATCCCGAGCCTTGCTGAAAACAAGAATAAAGCATTACTAAATTATGGCAGTAAGTATCACTAAAATAGAAGCTGAATATATCATGGGGGTATCAAACTCAGAAGTCGAAAACTGACAACGCCATGACAATAAACGAAAAACGACCAAAACACAAACAACATTCTGCAA